ATGTTAATTTCGTACCATGCCAGATTCCTAAATCTTCAATGTCGGGTAGCCTTATTGAGTTTGATTAATCATTGAAAAGAAATATTTGTAACATTACGAAAATCAGTGATAACGGGGCATCCGTCCAATTTTAAATACATATTATTTTCATAGAACCGTTTATGTAAATTGTCTAGTGAATGCTGAAGAGTAAGACAATCTTCTATTCTAGAAATGCAGTAAAATGATTTTAGATCGTCTGAAAATAGTAATGATCTTACAGAATGAAGAATGGAAGGAAGGTCATTGATAAAGAGAAAAACATAAGTGGACCAAAGTGTGAACCCTGAGGAACGCCAGATTTAACTTCAGACTTAATTCTATCCCTTTAAAAACGATTTTTTGAAAGCTGTGAAACTAAAAGACCTTAATATCACAAATTCTTCTTTCTATTTTAGATATGTTATGTGAAAATGAACAAAATTTAATTTTTAAAAAGCTAAATTAACACTCATTAGACAAAATATTAATGTCTTGAGAAAATTAATTGCTCATTATTGTCATGTATTGTAATTATTTATTTATCAATTGTTTTAAATGCTTTTAAAAGAGGCAAGGGTAATGCAAGAGGCATGCTTAAATGACTTCTGAACAGTTAGCCGTTACGAAACGTCACGTCTTCCGCTATGTTGGTCACTGAACTCGAATAAAATAGTCAATTTTTCTATATCTAAAGTTTAGACGGTTTTCAAAAGTTAACAATAGTTGGATAAGGAGAGACAATTTTGATCGTAAGAACGGAGATCCGTGCGATTTCGCGTTAATTTGCAACCTTTTTTTTTTCTTTTTTTTCCTGATAATCTTTCTTTGCGATTTTAATCCAATCTTTGCCCAACGATGCAAACCAAAACCGCACACGACCTTCGCGCGTAATTGTGATTATGCCTTGAACAAAAAAAAGTTTTAAATGCCAAAATTGCTTCTAGCTAAACTTTCATGCAAATGGCACCTGAGAAATCCAACAGTCATTCATTGATGGCAGGTTTCTTTTCCACACAGAGGGAAATATAATTAGAAAAAATATTTATATTCACTTCATTATTGCAACCAACCTGGACATACCGAATCGATCTTTTTCAATAAAGCGTTCCACCCTCCAAAAAATCAAGTCCATCTAGTGCACAATCCTTTGAACCATTACCTAAGCTCCCAACATTGTACCCAACCTATCTGCACAAAACTCCAAATCCCATTTATCCTCAAAACCGGGAGAAGTCGATACAGACGTCTCCTCATCCCAACACCCTAGTCCCTAGTAGTTATAACCCTAGTAATTTATAAAGGCAAAAAATTTCATTGTAGCCCTCTAGCGCTGGTGTGACTTATAATAATAATTTTTAAAAATTAAACTCGGTCGTCACACGTCCATATCCTCCCCTTGTTGTTTGTTAATAAAAATACTACAGCGACATTATGAACACAAACTTCCAAATCCGTAAAACCCTAGACCCTCATTCCAACACCCCTTCATAGCCCACTCTTCTATATTTTTACATCCAACGACTCTCACATTCAAAATCCAACTTCTAACTCATCACTGACGAGGCCACTGATCAGTGACTAACTTTAAACTCTGAAATGTAACTAACTCGTGACCAACTGACCAGAGTCACTCCACTCCACAACTCGTGTCAACCATCTTCGAATTATCCTTTGAATTATTGAATCATTTACTAATCCCATACTTCGTATCCAATTTGCCCACACAAACTTCCAAATCCATTTATCGTCAAAGCCGGAAGAATTCGACGAACACCTCCATAAAACCCTAGACCCTCATCCCAACACCCTACTCCGTAGTAGTTTATATACCCTGGTAATTTATAAAGACAAAAAAATTGATTGTAGCGCTCTAGAGCTGTTGTGATGTAATAATAATAATTTAAAAAATTAATATATAAATAATAATATATATTGTGTATATCATATATGTACAATATATCATACCATATCCTCTCCTTGTTACTTGTTTGTAAAAATTATATAACGACTCGTAAACCCCTTTAAAAATAGAATTGTCTTTTAAATCTACAAATTTTCTGACGGCTGAAATACGCAATGAAACAGTTGATTTTTGTTAACTGTTAAACGAACCTTGAAATCCTTCGGTTTGTTAGAACAGAGCCACGTCACACAAGACAAACATTGAGGGTTGTTTCCTTCTTTGTCTTTTTTCAACCTTTCAACCGTGAAATTTTCGTCGAGAAAAATTTTCCGTGTAATTTTCCGAGCCGGAGAACGTTCGTTCAAACGCAAGCTAGATTTTCTTTGGGCGGCGTCGGTTTGGAAGTGATAAAATGCGGTTGATTTCTCTTTCCCTACAACCTCAGCCTTAACGTATTGGTCGTACAGAATTCACTTTTCATCGTACGTAACAAATCTAAACAATGGATGGTTATATTAGGGTTTGAAAGACGAGCACCCGAGTTTAGAAATCAAGACATTCATGCACAAAACTAAATGTCAAAGTTGGCTGTAATTTATTTAGAAATCGTGAGATGCGGTCTGGGATGATGTAGGTTTCAGAAAAACATTTTCTTTATCGTGCCAACGTTTCAATCTTTATTGAGATCATCTTCAGGCTCGAAGTGTTTGTCACACTCTCGACACGACACGCAAGAATGGCACAATACACAGAAGACAAACACTTTGAGCCCTGAAGATGATCTCAATAAAGATCGAAACGTTGGCACGATAAAGAAAATGGTTTTCTGAAACCTACATCGCACCAGACCGCATCTCACGATTTCTAAATAAATATCGATTAACGGTCACTAATCACCATACACGTTGGCAGTAATAGAACTATCATCTCGGTTTTTAACTTTTATAATATAATGTTAATATCCATGTAATTGGTGATCTTAGAGGTTTAAAAGCAAATGACTAACAAAACATTAAGGATTGCTGCAAGACGATACCCAAATATTGATAGTAAGTATGACTTGACGTCCATACCAAACTTCTCTATACCACACATTTTTCTAACTAAAATTTAAAATTATTTGTTTTTACTACATTTTTGTCGTGTACTTATCCTGGTATGGGAATTGGCTTACCGAAGTAGGCAGACAAGGCCAGTGTCTCATATTTACAATGAACTGCCGATGTCTCTGGTTTCTCTTGACATAGTCGGTATGTCTTTGTCTCGTTTTGCCTATCTTCCTTAGATGGTAGTTAAGATGGCAGTTTTAAATCTTGCCGGCTGAGAGTGAACAGTTCCTTCGTCTTCCTTTTTGAGAGATTTGTGAATTACCTTGCTTCTAGGTGCTTTTGCCCAGTGCTAGAATTTTCTTTCTCAGGCCATTTTTCTACTACATTTATTCGGACTTAGTTGTGGTTCTGATCCCAAGGGTGTTAAAGTCCCAGTTTGTTGCTTCTACACGTTCACGTCCTAGACGCTCAAGTTAACCTTGTCATTTTCTGCTAGTGACATTAAGCAATTTAGGCACCCCAGACTAGTTTGGAGCCAAAAACATAAAATTTCGTGATTTTGTCGAAAGCACTTGGACCTTACTTAAAAGTATATTGTATGTAAAAGTGTATTGTCTGCCGAAATCCGAACAGATTTATTCTTAAATTTTTCCATTCCAGTGACAGACTGACAGTCACTTGATCGGTTAATAACTAACAATAATATTAATAATCTCAAAAAATATTTTTCAATGCCAAAACACCCAGCAATAATTGACTGACCAGTGTGATCAAGAATTAACAGATTGTGAGAAATCTAAAAAATTCGGAGACTTGTTGACTTTTTTTAAATGATTATTGTTTATCTGTTTGTTTATTTGAACGTCTCTAACAATACTAAAGTTTCAAATATTTTATCTTGATTGTGCAAACTTGTTTTTCGTATTTAGACACAAACATTAACCAAGGGACCAAAATCTTAATTTATATTTAATTTTGAAATAAACAAATTCAATAAACGACGAAGGGAAGAATTTTCCGTAACGAATAACAGATCAGCAAGCGATCCGACGTCCTGCCTCTCCCCGCTTATAACCTTTTCAATTACCACTTAATTTTTTGAAGCGATCATCAAACTTTCAGAAACAGAATAAATAAAAATGTTTTCCCGTTTATTATCAACCATGACGCAACGTACATAAAATTTTTAAATCCAATAGAATCAGTATCAACAAAAATTATTAATAGAAATGATGAAATATGGATTGTCAAAACACACACACACAGATTTTTTTTACTTTTTATTAATTTTTGGAACATTTGGTTCGCAGGAGAACATACTTTCATTGATGAGACGAGTGCGGCATTGAGAAAGCCTGAGTCTTGCCTCACCCTGCTTATAACCCTGATGTCATGACATCTTTTTATAAAAACAGGAACCTAGTAATTATACTTGCATTGAATAAAACACAATAATTGCGTACTATACTAGTTAAAAATTAGCTTGAACGAATAAAGTATAGAAATACTATTACTTGTCTATTTCCAGAGTTCTGCCATCTTATCCATTAATCCCTTTCTCATTAAAAATAAATTATAAGAGTCAATGTAGTAATTAAAGTTTATGGAGACCTGATGATAGTGATAAAATCAATAAAGCAGGCTTGCAATGAATCTTGAATAACTCATGCGATTACGAGGGTAATTTTGAAATTCGTAAGCATGCAGAATCAGTTATGCTGGAATGGAGTTTTATTTTTATTGGCTTTAAACATGGTATGTTTTAATACGAATATTTATAAAAGTATATCAGTTTACAATATCTATGAAAGTTGCAGTTTATCTAAATACAATTTTTTTTTTTTTTTTTTGTAAGATCAGAGCACCAAGCTTTTAGATCTTTGGGAGACGATTCGTCCGATCATTTCGGATACAGATAAAGAATTTTCTGTACTCGTGTCGGATTTTTTAAGTGGGGATAACTCCCGACGTCCCCTTCCAACCGACCTTCCATAAACATAATATGCATATGTCCACACTACCTTATTTACAATCGACATTGGTTGAAAAAAATCGTAATTCAGATAGCACAAATTGATCGGTACGTTTCAAGAACAACAGAGGTGAGTATATGGGAATTATGAAAAAAAATTGGGAATTTTCGTAGCAAAAAAATTAACAAATTAAAATATTTTAAGTACTTATCAAACAAACACTTTCTGGGATTTAGATAAACTAAAATGGCCAATTTACTTAGACCTAACAAAATCAAGCAGAGTTAAGATAATGTAAATTTTTCCTTATGTAATGAACCCATTTGTTTAACAAAAGCTAATTAAAGATTCTTAATGAAAATCATTTACTGTATTGTAATTTAAAGTGAAAATTAGTCATGTCGAATAAATACCCAAAGATTATTGATTTTGCTTACATTCCTTCTATAAAGGAACAGTTCTCAATTTCATCTAGAGTATCTTGTCCAATATCCTCTTAAAAGTCAAAAAAATTGGAAGCAGGAGATGTAAATCGACTTTCAAATGTGTACCTTCCTACATCATAAAACAACCAAAAAGGTTTTACGACTTTAACACTAAAACACAAATCTAAGCCCTGCTCCAACCAGGAAAGCCTACCATTATTAGTTAGTCATAAAAATTACCTTTTTTTGCTAATTTCAAAATAATTTTATCTTGACATATTTTTTAATATAAAAAGTATATACCGTGCTCTATGGTTTGTTGCCAACTCGATGCCAGATATTGGATTCCTTCATAAAGCACTATTTGGGTTTTGTACGGAAGAATTCTGCAACTCCAACCAAGCCATGGACTGGAACAGGTAATCAGAAGGTGCTAAGTTTGGACTGTAAACAGGATGAAGGAGAGCTCAATTCCTACCAATTCAGTCATTTTTTATTTCGTGCAACTTGAAGTATGCGGTTTGGCGTTATCTTGTTGAAACAAAACCCGATTTCTATTTAATAATACTGGGTAACTCTGGGTCAAAACATCATACATTGTAACTGCTCACAATAAAGTTTTGAATCAATAGTTCGACCTTCTAAAATGAACTCATAATGAATTATGCCTTTGTAATTCCAAAATACAGAAAGCATTGTCTTTTTGTCGAATTGCCCTTGTTTAACGATTGGTAGAGCAGGCTGATTGCAGTCTAGCCATTATTTCTTGATCTTGGGGTTTCTCCGATAATATCCACTTTTCATCGCAAGTAACTTGCGATAAAAACTGCGATAACTTAAGTAACTTCTTTTGATGAACTGAAGGATATTTGGGTTTTTCAAAAGATGTTGACTAATTCCTACTCGGCGACGTGCCTGCTCAATGGTCAACTCGTAGAGAACCACTCTTAACGATTCACATTCCCCAAGTTATGCATTCCGATTTATGTTGGATTGGAAAACTCCAAGCTCTGTTGCCAATTCCCGAGTACTTTTCGTTGGGTCTGCCTCGCCAGATTCCAGCAGAGCTTCCTCATTGAATGATGAATTTTGTTCAGAATCCTCTTTCCTCTCGAGGTTAACGTCACCGGCTTCAAATTTCTGGAACCATCTGTACACTGTCCGTCCAGAGAGAGCATCCACATACCAACCGGGTTGTTAAGTTTTAAGTTTTCAATAATGTCGTAATATTACCAAAATTTCAAATTTTATCGTCATTTTGTTTAACCAAACTCTAAGACAAAACTGAAGGCAAGACGAGATCATTTTTTTCTGTTACAGTCTACAGATTAAAGTTTTATCAAATCTAATTGAATTTGAAAAAAAATAAAGCCTATAGAATTAAAATTTCCAAGGAAATGAAATCAGTCAATTTTTATGACACACCTTATTATCTTCTCTACATTTGTTGAGAAACCGCATAAAACGAAAAAAGACGAGCAGACTTTGGGAGAACAAGAAAAACCCTCGAACCAGAGATATGTTAAAAGTGGTTATTTGCAAAGAACGAATTAAGCTGAGCTTTCACTGCTCGGCAAGTATGGCAAGTATAGTAAGTAAAACGCAAACCTCCCACTAAAAGATAATAGTAAGCTCAACCCCAGAACACAAGAGAAATTTTGTACGGTCTTACTCATTTCACATAAGTTAAATCTCGTATGAGTCCCATAGCGAGCCTTCTTCTATGCCCACATCATAAACGCATGAAACGTCCGCATTTATTATATTGTAAAAACCTGCAATTAATACAGATCAAGAAAATGCAAGCCATTTAATGTCCTCAGATTGATGACGGTAACTCCATGGTATGTGCAACACTTTGCTACACTGACTTCACGCCTGAAGTGACAAGCAAAATCTCTAAAGCTTCTTCAAAACATCAGTCTACTGAAATCAACTACTTCAAGATATAGCTATTCCATAAGTCCACACTATCACCTTTAACTCTTCTACCCTAGTACAACTTTCATAAAAGACATCTTATATCATCTTTTTCTTAATTTTTATTGTGTATACTTATTTTTGTTTTATTATTTGCCATTCAGTTACAAATCAATGCTTATTTCTTTGGGAAAACATAACAAAACCGATACACCTAGCTATGAACATATGCCACAGCGCCTTATTATTGAAAAGCAAACAACCACAAGTTGGATGGTAGGACGGATGGTTCCAAAAACCAAGACGGGATTTGAGCTACTGTCATCTGTGAAAATCAAAAGTGCCGATTTTCGTTCAACCTATCTTAAAGGTTTAAGTATTAAAAGGAGTCAGCCGTTTTACGTCCTTACGCACCGCGGTATATTCTCCATCGTTGACTGAAGCTCTTCTTTAAGCTAAAGGCTTTTTACTAAATAACAAAGTTTTGTTAAGTCTTTGCTTTTCTCATCCCAAAAGTGGGAATCTTAGCCTACATAGGCCTTTGAAGCAACAGAACACATATTGCTGCTGCTTCTTCACACTGCTTCTTTTCTTCCTGGCAGTATGTGCACCTGCTTGTATCTGCTCCTTCGAGTGTATTTATCGCCGCACTCTGCCAATAACTATCATTCTAGTCCTATCAAGTCCTAGGTTTATTAGTTCTACCGTTAGTTTTTGCAATGGTCCGAGGACTTATTGTCAACCCATTGAACCCAATGAATCTACGCTTTTGGCAAAGTGGTATGCCGTATTCAGGTGTATTCCTGACCAATATTTTTTGGCCAATTTATCCTCTTTGTCTCCTCTTTGTCAGCATCTTAACTACTTATAGCGCCGATCTGCTTGTACTAATTAATCTGTATACTGATTGGACCAAAAATAATCTGTATGTAATGTTCCGCATTGTGAGCATTAAGGTGCTGCTATAGGCATCATGACATGTAATTGAGATAAATTTTCTGGGTTCCTGAGAGTGCTGCTAAAGCAGGCAATGTAGCAAATCTAGCTGCTAAAAAGTTGCAATGAACCGATGTTCAGACTAAAGCTATAAAAGACATTATCGCGGTTTTCAACCAAAAGTTTGATCACAATGGTTGCAAATTTGGCTAGTGTAAAAATTTGCTTGGTGAAATAAAAACTAGTGTTTTAACATGGCCATCATCGAACAGGAAGAAAATGCTGTAGGTAGACAGCAACCAAGGGTCATCTATTGGCACAATCCATCACCCACTTGCACCATGTGCAATGCATTTGTAATAAATAAAAATAATAGAAAAATTGCAAAAAGGAGGGAAAATTCGAAAGGTCGTAGGTTGAGATGGCGAGTTGGTGTCCGACTGGATCGAAGTCACGATAGCTCATGTGGTTAGAGCAGCGGCGTATCGAGCCGAAGGTCATGGGTTCGAATCCCGATCGTGACACTCACTTTTTCCTTTCAACCAAAACCTTACATGAAAAGATTAATTAATTGAAAGAAGTAATTTGGTCAATAGACCACTAATTATAATGGAATTAATCAAAATAATAATAAAACCACTAAAATTAATTTCCCTATTATTCTTTCTATTTTCAACATTCTCGCTAAAATTAATTAATTCAATTGAATGAATATAGCCTTTAGATTATTCAAACCAGTTCAAACATGTGAAATCGTATAGTTTTGAGATGTCATTATGCTGTTTGCTTAATTTTAAATATACACGTTTACTTTTATTGTTTACATATAATCTACATACCACACCGATCAAATATTTGAATAGAAATTATTAGTTTTAGGAAATTTCTAGCCCAGCGGGGATTTATACTTGTAGCGGAATGATGTCCGTAGCAAAATTTTATCTGTGTTGATAGTTTGAACGATGTATATTTTTTGTGTTTATTTCTCTATTTTTCAAGCCAGAGGCAGACATTTTATTAATAACATGTTTTAGGATGTTTAAAAACGATAGTATTTATTTTAATTCATGTGACATACTCCTGTTACAGATGAAGGAATTCATATGGGCAGTGCTTATATTTCTGCCGTCAGTAACGACGAATGATTGCTCAAAAACAAAGCTCTTATCACAGGAAAGCGTATTGCTCAAGGACGCTTATGAATACTTCACGGAAGGAGAGATGAAGTTCTCCGTAGAAATGACCAAGCAAGCGTACACTGAGCAGCCGAATGAGAATTTATTTTTCTCGCCGTACAGCGTTTACAACGCTCTTCTCCTGTCTTATTTCATCGCCAATGGCACAACTTTAGCCGCAGTTGAAAAATTGCTCGGACTCCCTAAAGACAAAGTAAGATACAAACCAGATATTTAAATATCCATCTTCAAAAAGACGAGTTTTTCATTTTATGCACTTTTTATTTCAAATAAATCCATTTTAAAACTCAGCATGTTGCTGTATTTTAGAGACAATTTATTTTATTTTATAATTAGTATTACATGAATTTATTGTGCAACAATATCGTGAGCTATGAGATCCGAACATCTTCACTGTCTCCTATCACCCTAGTTGGTATAATAGTCTTGTTCATCAGTAGTTCGGTATAATAGTCTTGTTCATCTTGTTTTGTCAATTATCTTTTTTAATCCAATAAAATATAAATTTAGTACAAAATCAATTTCATTGTGGTAAATATAAAACGAAAAGGCCGACAAACTATGCTGCTGATATGAGTCCAACAGCAAAATCAAGAACTAGACCAGGATCTGAAACGATTCATCTATACATAAATTTACAATAAGCAGATAGATTTTTTTAAATGTATGTACAAACTGAATCATATTGTATAATTCGATTATTTAAGAACTCTTGAAAGTAAAGTTAGAATATGCTGTGAAAGTTATGATTCTAACAATAATAGTTACATTTGGATGACCGATTACAAATATTGTTTTATGTCTCCTTTCTTGATGTATTGACTATTTTCGTTAAATTAAGAACTTGCGCAACATATTAATCTTAAGCGGTTTTAAAGGTATTCAGTGGGGCGTCGAGGGCAACAATGATTTAGGCGATGACACGGCGCTCATTACTGTAAGGTAAAGGTCCCGGGTTCGAATCCAGCGGCCCTGCATTCGAACCCGACATACTTTCAAATGGGATTTTTTTGAAAAACACCGGCACCCCGAGGGTTGATATAACCTCTGCTGTTGCGAACCCTCGTTAAAAAAAATAATAATAATAATAAAATGAAAAATAGTTTTTATCTTTTAAAAACGTATTTTGTTTTTGTTTTTTTAAGGGCAAACGAGACACAGTGCAGATGTACGAAGCTATTAGGGAGCAGACAAATAAAAACTCCAAAACTACGGAGCAGACAGATAAAGACTCCGAAACTACGGAGCAGACAAATAAAGACTCCAAAACTACGAAGCAGACAAATAAAAACCCCAATACTTCTCTTACGAAGCAGACAAAAGAAAGCTCCAAAACTTCAGATGTTATATTTGAATTGGCGAATCGGTTCTACGTCTCGGAGACAGAGACTGTCACGGAGTGCATGAGATGTCATTTCAGTGCAGAGTTAATGACTATAGACTTTTCCAACTCATCTGTTGAAACGATTAACAAGTTTGTCGCCGATGTAACTAAGAACGAGATCAAAAATTTCCTAAAAGAAGGTTCGATAGATTCGGACACAAAACTAGCTTTGGTTTGTTTAATAATCGGTCAATACCTTCTTATTCTCTAAAATTTAAAATGTAATATAAAATTTTTGTTGGTTTTGTTTAAAGGTAAATGCAGCATATTTTAAAGGGATGTGGGAAAAGCAATTTCAAAAGAATCGCTCCACCACACAAAGTTTTTACCTGTCAAAAACCAATACAGTCAATGTTACGATGATGAGGCAAAAATCTAAATTTAAATATTGTAATATTTTTCTCCATATTTTTCTCCTTTCTCTTTCTTTGTAATTATTTTTTTATGTATTCATTTTAATAGTGGAATTGAAAGGCGTGGGTAAAACCTTAGAACTCCCTTACAAGGATCCTGACTTCTCCATGTATATTCTGCTCCCTCGTCGTGGCGAATACAGTCCCTCCAATTTTATCAACAAACTCTCCTACGAGACTTTGAAAAATGTCGTCGAAAATAATGCAACCCAGACGGTCGCCGTCCAAATCCCAAAATTCACCATTGAAAAGCAGCTTCCGCTGGATCAAGTTAGTATCGGACTAAAATCTAATAAATTTTCTAAATTTACCTTAAGCGTAATAATTTTTTTAAAGTGACATTTTCCAGTATTTCTTCTGTTTTTAATACTATATTTTGATATTTTTTTTAGGTTTTACAAAATATGAATGTAGGAGATCTTTTTCAAACCTCAAGCGATCTTTCAATTCTGACAGGCAAATCAGACATACATTTCACCTCGGCAATTCATAAATCGAAGATATCAGTGGACGAAGAAGGTACAACAGCCGCCGCGGCAACTGCTTTTGCCTCCCCCAGATCAGCTCCTCTATTTAAGCGATTCTACTGCAACCGCCCGTTCATCTACTTTATTTACCAACACTCCTCCAAGAGCATACTTTTCCTCGGTGTCTTCAACAAACCCACCGAACAGGAACAGGACTCGAAACCATTGTCAAGCGAAACAACAAATGAGTAATACAAAAAAAACTACAAACAAAATGTTATAAAAGTTGTAAATATACATAATTTAACTATTATCAAAAATAAAATTTAAAAAAAACACTTACCACTTATCAAAGTAGAATTAATTTAGATTGGTGAACGAGGGAAAACCATATTTACACGAAATTATTTTTGAAAATAATCCGTATCTTTCTTTCCTTGTATTTTTCTAGTATCCCTTTTTCTAATTAATATATCTATATATCAGAGGGATCATTTCGAGTAAAACAAGTAGACGAATACTTCGAAATTTAGAAATAAAGACTGGCGTTCCCCAGGGAAACGACCTAGAACCCATCCTGTTCTACCTTACACCAGTGACCCTTCACACAATTATAACATCATTCCGTTGGATGATGACAGAGGAAAATAGTATTGAAACATTGACAAGAGATCAGCAGCATTGAGACGGGTTGCCTGATGGAAGATTGGAAAATTAAAGTACATGAGAACTTAACTATTATGGCTTGAGTATATTACGTGTAAGGCTATCAAACATATATTTTTAAAATAATTGTTTGGTTACAATAATATAATTTATATTGCAGAGAGGTTAGAAGTTGTATAGGTGCCATGGTGTCCACACCTACGCGCTGTTGTGAAGCGGCCTATGGCCCCTACATATAAGACGAGGTAAGTTGGCTGGACCCAGCAATCTAGGCCCTCATCCAAAACACGCCATACCAGCAGTCTCAAGGAATTATAAGACGGGGAAATCTTCCTACTGTCGAATATAATGCAACTTAAGGACTTAAGGAACTATGCCTTGGGAAAGACAAAATCACAGCTCAAATGGTTGGATGGATTCTATACCCTTTTGCCCCAAACATAGTAATGGGCAAGGCAAAAATATTTTTTATTTTTTTAAATTAATTATTCCATTGTGTTTGGGTGTTATTTTTCATGTTATATGTTTATTCAATGTCTCATATAACTTTCTTTGCGCCATCTGAACTATCACAAATTAGATTTGCGTCAATCCAAAATTATTTTTTTAGTTTTTAAAGTAAAATCATTTATAACCTTTATAGTTATCTAACCCAAATTACCACACTAGTTTGCACCAAACTAGTACATTTTTTTTAATTTTGGAGGTTGATGCAGAATACAATTCTTTCCTCTGACAGCAAACAGGTCTGTTATGGAACCCCTATAACTTATAGCCATACCTTGGAAAGTTCTTTATAATATTCCTTGGTGCTTCTTCGTAGATCTCCTTGGATATGAGAAATGTCCTTCCGAAGTGGCCGTAAACGTAAAGTAAACGGACTTTACATTCGTAAAGGATATGTGCCGATGTCTCTGGTTCCTTCTGGCAGAGCCGGCCTTTTTCTGTCTCAGCCTTGCCCATCTTCTTAAGAGATAATTAAGAGGGCAGTGGCCGGTGTAGAGGCTGATAATTTTTCTCAAATTCTACCTGCTGAGAGGGAGGAGTTCTTTCACCTTCCGTTTTGAGATGTTTGTAAATCTCTTAGCTTCCCTTACACCTCGAGTATTTGTCAAGTGTTTGAATTTTTCTTTTTCAACCCATTTTTCCAGCTCCAACTTAAGCACACACTCTTGAGTACTTAGTTATGGTCTCATGGGTGACCCTTTTTTTTGCTAGGTGGTCAGCCTGTTCATTTCCTTTTATGCCTTCATATCCGGAAACCCACTTCAAGGTTTGACATTAGTACATACTTAACAGTATTCCGGGGTCTTAATCGTTTTATAGATTATCTGCGGATAACGCTACAATACGAATTGTATAATTACAAAAAAAATTGAAATTGAACAAAAAAGAAAATTTATCGACAAATGGTTTCTTAAGACCTTGGTTAATACTGCTATTTATAGTATTCAACTTCATGATGTTACTGATTATTAAAAGTTCGTATAGTTTGCCATGTAGGGTTGGGCAACAGTCCAATTTGATACTCCTTGAGCAGTTAGTTGAATAGATGCACATAACCTCAATAACCTTATTGTCAGGTAGATATTGATTACACATTTGGATGATTTTAAATGGCCAGCTTTATGTCACTTTTGGACCTTTTGCTTAATTTTTCTGGCCAGTAGCGTCACAAAATTTGAAACAAAATTAATAGATTCGCACTTGCTATTAAAACAGATATGCATTACAGTTCAATAAGTTTTACTAGATTGTAATAAATATGAAAATAATTGTACTTTACAAATAAGATTGCAGCAATAACAGCATAAAAAGCCTTTCGTTTTTACCTGCTACGAGGTCATGCTGCGGCGCACTATTTAAATCTTGGATTATTAGTGGATTAAGGTTGCATGTCAAATAATGTTGTGGAGTCTTTAGCAAGAGGATTCAATTACTTAGACCGAAGAGTTCTGTTGGGACTTTTAGGTCATACTGAATCGTGGAGTACCTTGCTGCACTTCTAATTAATCTAAAAAGCCTATTTTGCCTGAATTTTTGTTATTTGGATTGAAACCATCCTTCCCTCCTTTTTGCCATTTTTCAAATGTCATAAATCAATTTGATTCTCGGCGACAAATGAAACGGCCACGGAGAGCTTTAGTGAAGTATACTTCATTTTAAAATTATTAAATTCACTAGTTTTGTGGTCCGCTTGACCAATTAATATCTTACAATTAATTAAGGTTTTCAGTTGAGATAAAAAAGTCAATGGCCCGAGCGGGATTCGAACACACGATCTTCGGCTTGATACGCCGCTGCTCTACCACTTGAGCTATCGTGACCTCGATCCACGGCAAAAACGAAAAATGGTAAAAAGGAGGGAAAATTCAAAAGGTGTGGTTGAGATGGGAGGTTGGTGTCGAGTGGATCGAGGTCACGATAGCTCAAGTGGTAGAGCAGCGGCGTAGCATAGCAAGAGGTTTTTCGCTGGTTTATTTTTGATTCAAGATATTTGATATGGTCAGTGGTCGATCTAGTCTTAGAAGGAAGGTAGGAATTTGGGTGACGCCTATAGGCCCTAAAGTCGACCCTGGTCATAACAGAGGATCTCCATTTGCTGCACCAGGAAAGCTGTTCTTTAATTTCTGAAAGTAACACTTGGTCAAATACTTTTCCACTATCGAGGAACACTCCCAGGCAAAAGTATACAGGAATCTAGGATGGTATATGCAAACTTGTTCAATTACCGAGGACAGAAGGGATGCGCTAAATCTAATTCCGTGTCAGGTAGGTTAAATGCTAAAAAATGAAGTGTTTTAGATAGCTAACGTCTTTTCAATTTCTAGGAGAACAAGGTACGCAAGCAGATTGGCCATTACCTTGTCGGATCCGGGCTTAGTTTATCATGTTTTTATCTATTTTAGAAGTGCTTGAGCAATATTCTTATAGATTATATGACAGGCGCGGAGCTTTCTTGATAGGAGAAAATCGCGTTTTTTACATCTGCACGTTTGTAGAAGAATATCTGAGGTGGTCTTATGACTTGTACTTTTAACGCAGAGTAAGGATTTTGTGAGAGCTGATAGTTCTAGTGTTGCATTATAAATTTGTCTTAGTATTACGAGACCCTTGAGTGGGAGTGCTTTGAGTAAGGGTGAGATAGTCTGCTTGACTAAAGTGTTAAAGTGGCTAAACTGTAACCATAAATTTGGCCCAAGTCGTTCGATAACAAGGCAGAGGGGCTACGAAGAAGCCGATAAATTGAGTAAGGTAAGTTCAGTCAAGACACCTATCTACCCTCGATACCCGATCATTAAGATAAGCCCTCGATCCAATGGAAAAATATTTCAGAACAGGAGCTTGCGAAAAATTTCATCAAAGGAGTATCGCAAGCCTAGGACTTTTTAGGACCAGAATTATAGGATTACTGATTGGAGACTGCAGACTTAGGCATCAGAAACAAGCTTGATATTGCCAGGAAGAACAAACAGTGCGACATGTCTTCTTTCGTTGCGAAAGGGTTTGCCTTGAGATTCCAATTCTTGGAAGAGGAAAAGCCAAAGGCCTCAAGGATCAACGAGGGCCCTTAACTGAGCTTTGGAACCTGAAAAAATCTGGCTTATCGAAAAGATGAGAGATGGCAATATTGGTCGCGGTATAGGTACTTTTATTTTCACAGATGACAGCAGCTCCAACCCTTTCCTGATTTTTGGAACCATCCACATAGTCGCGTTTCAATGTCTAGGTGCTATGGTTTGTGTACATAGCTGGATGTATTGGCTTTGTTGTTTGCCCGAAGAAAAAAGGATGGGGTTGAGCGTATGTCAATGGTTTTGGTTCATTGATTTTTCAGGGTTTTAAGTTTTACGGCAACCGACAAAGTTAAACTGCGGACAGAATGATTGTAAAAAGACCGACAAGTTACCTAAATCTAACCTGGGTTCGGCGTAAATTTAATTTCTGATGGGATGTGAAATATCACTGGCCATTATATGATCAGAAGGTATTCCTCATTTGATGCTTAGCCAGTATTATATTTTTTGAGTTATCTGTCCTCAGAATTTACCATAGCTCTATAATTACAGTATGCGCCTTGGATATAAAGCCTAGCTATATTTTAAGCCATTGCCAGATTAAGTCATTAGTCAGCTTGAGATGTGGTCGTTATCCGTCTAGCCACGCAAATTTCATTTTAAGAAACGCGTATAGTCATGGTGAATTTTCATTTTTGCGTTGTTGGTATCAAAGCTACATTAATCATTAAAAGACACTAAAAGACATAAAATCATTGTAGTATTGGTCTTGCGTTGGAGGAAGTGGAGGGTATCATTTACATTATAAATGCACGAACGAGCATATCAGATTGGGTTGTAGCTAGCTGGATAATAAAGCGTTTGACATATTTGAAAATATTGCAAAAAGAGGGAAAATTCGAAAGGTTTTAGATTGAGATAAGGAGATGGTGTCCGATCTAAGTCACGATAGCTCAAGTGGTTATAGCAGCGATCGAAGGTCGTGGGTTCGAATCCCGCTCGTGACACTAGCTTTTTCATCTCAACCAAGACCTTAGATAAAAAGTATAATTAATTAACATATGACACTACAATTTGGTATTTACCGTACGAAGGCGTAAGTAGACGTGTCATACAAATGATAACTTCATATTATAATGCGGACATACCAGATTCTGGTTTTACCTCTCCATTTCGAATTGAATAGAAACATTTTTTCAAAAACAAAGGAAAAGATGTTATATTATCAAAGAGTTCAGTTAACCTAGGAAATGTTAGGTCGAAACCTCACCTGGCTGTGGGTGCCTAGGTGGCAGTGGTAAAATGTAAACGAAAGGAATAAATGTTGGGCGCCAGTCATCCTCCTTTTGTTGTCCAAGGAAAACAAAGGAAGTCAAAGCGAATAGAAAAATAATACCCTCAAAATATCTTAGACATTCCAAATTACAACGAAAAACTGCTTTGGCAGGAATAAAATTGTCATAACTTATAATTATTATACAAAATTCTATCAAGTGTCAAGTGGCATGTAAATTATAATTGTAAATAATAATAACGTATAAGGTCTTGGACACTGGAACTGGAAAACTAGTATATTTGACTGAATATTTACATATATACAGACTGCAACCTGTCTCTTTTTTTCATTTATGTTAGAAGTGCGAAAGACACTGGGCTTTATAATTTCTGCAACCTTAACAATGTAATTATTTAATAATAATGTATAAATGATGTGAAATGAAGCTTTTTTTTCTCGCAACAATAACTGGGATTGATAAAAATATTGCACAATTTTTTGAGATATTTGTTTGTTTTTAAAAGTGTTCGAAACTACTTTAAATTATTGAACCTCTTCCAATTTGCTCTATTACATAAATTTTATATTGTATTAATGTATAAATAATGCTTTATCCAAAACAGCCATTCTAAATATACTATACAATGTAAAAAGATAGTTTTTCTGAACACTTTGTTTTTAAAAAAAATTTGTTTGGAGACATTTCTATAAGTAAAAGGATACAAGGCATTCGGTTTTTGATAGTACATCGTACACAGAAGTGAACATAATTCCTCAATGATTAGAAACCACAATTTAAAATGTCAGATGATCAATTTTCGCTTTTTGCATCAAAGTAAAAAGGCTGGGCGTATTTTACAATTTTTATATGGAAAATAAGAGGAATTGTGTGCCATGGGCTACAGCCAGTTGAAGATTTAAGACTGCACGGAACTCAATTTCATGGCCTGATGTATTTCAACGTTCGGAAATTCTAACCACTTAGGATGGTTAGACTGTGACAAGTGATCAACAGCTAAAATAAATAAATACCAGCATGGGCATTCACTAGTTCACCGTGTTTACGGACTCTAACTCGAGGCACAACAATTGGTGTACTTTTACTTGCAAACATCTAGTGTCTTTTTATTATTTTCTATTAGAATAATTAAAATTGTAATTGAATAATTCCTTCTCAACAGAAAATTCAGTTTTAAATTGAAAAATCTTTATATAATGCTTAGTAAGGTTTTGTAAACTTTATTTTTTTTCTAACAAATGTTCTACGCTCCTAGAAGAAATACTGTCCTCCTCTGTCCAAAACCTCCAAATTTTTTAAATTTACCGCTGTAAGCTTATTATGACATCACACGGTTTCAGACCACGAGGAACGTCTTTCTTGTTTTATAGTACCTATTTCCAAATTGTAAACTTTCTATAAATACATGAAATATTAAAGACATATGGTAGTAGTAGTAGTACTAGTAATAATAATAATATAATATAAAAAAATGACATAAATATTTTGACATGGTAAATATCGTTATTCCCGAGGGCCAAAACCAAAAGAAAAGAAGTTGTATCATGTTCAGTAGTGTTCAGTAGAATTTGGAACCTTTGGTTTGTTGGAAAAGAAAATCATTTTCATTTATGGGTAATTGATAATAATAATGTTTATTTAGTTTACAAAATAACATATAAAATAATTTACGTAACATTTTACAGCATGGTAAAAATCGTTCGTCTTCCGGAGAGTCAAAACCGAAAGAAAAGCAGTTGTATTATGAAAGTGTCCAGTAGACCTTGGAACCTTTGGTTTGTCGGAAAAGAAAATCATTTTCATTTATGGGTAATTGATAATAATAATGTTTATTTAGATTACAAAAAACAAATAAAATTACTGACATAACATTTTACTGCATGGTAAAAATCGTTCGTCTTCCGGAGAGTCAAACCCGAAAGAAAAGCAGTAGTATTATGAAAGTGTCCAGTAGACCTTGGAACCTTCGGTTCGTTAGAAAAGAAAGTCATTTTAGTTAGAGATAATTGAAAATAATGTTTATTTAGTAGTAACAAAAAAATTATGCAAAACAAATTACTTAAACATTTTACGGCATGTTAAAAATCTTCTTCAGGAGAGTCAAAACCGAAAGAAAAGCAGTGGTATTATGAAAGTGTTCAGTAGACGTTGGAACATTCGGTTCGTTAGAAAAAAGATCATTTTAGTTATAGACAATTGATAATAATGTTTATTTAGTAGTAACAAAAAAATTATGCTAAAATAAATTACTTAAACATTTTACAGCATGGTAAAAATCTTCTTCCGGAGAGTCAAAACCGAAAGAAAAGCAGTTGTACTATGAAAGTGTTCAGTAGACCTTAGAACCTTCGGTTCGTTAGAAAAAAAATCATTTTAATTATAGATAATTGATAATAATGTTTATTTAATAGTAACAAAAAATTATGCAAAACAAATTACTTAAACATTTTACGGCATGGTAAAAATCTTCTTCAGGAGAGTCAAAACCGAAAGAAAAGCAGTTGTATTATGAAAGTGTTCAGTAGACGTTGGAACATTCGGTTCTTTAGAAAAAAAAATCATTTTAGTTATAGATAATAATGTTTATTTAATAGTAACAAAAAAATTATGCTAAAACAAATTACTTTACGGCATGGAAAAAAATCTTCTTCCGGAGAAAAGAAAAATCTTTTTCCGAAGAAAAAAGAAAATCATTTTAGTTATAGATAATTGATAATAATGTTTATTTGGTAGTATCAAAAAAATTATGCCAAAACAAATTACTTAAACATTTTACGGCATGGAGAAAAATCTTCTTCCGGAGAGTCAAAACCAAAAGAAAAGCAGTTGTATTATGAAAGTGTTCAGTAGACGTTGGAACATTCGGTTCGTTAGAAAAAAAATCATTTTTGTTATAGACAATTGATAATAATGTTTATTTAGTAGTAACAAAAAAATTATGCAAAACAAATTACTTAAACATTTTACGGCACGGAAAAAAATCTTCTTCCGGAGAGTCAAAACCAAAAGAAAAGCCGTTGTATTATGAAAGTGTCCAGTAGACCTTGGACCTTCTGTTCGTTAGAAAAGAAAATCATTTTAGTTATAGATAATTGATAATATTGTTTATTTAGTAGTTACCAAAAAATTATACAAAAATAAATTACTTAAACATTGTACGGCATGATAAAAACCGTTTACAGGAGGGACAAAACCAAATGAAAAGCACTTGTATTATGAATGTGTCCAGTATGTTTCTGGGTAATTGATTGTTATAACTGCTTGCATCAATCACGCCACTACAACCCTGACGTCATGTCTTCATTTAATTGTCAAGAACCTTTGTAACCACTGAATACTATAATAGTAGTAAAAGGTACCAACTATTAATTGCCTAGAATTGATTTGAGGTGGGAAGTAAATTCTCATCATCAACAGAAGAAAAAAACATATATTGTTACTGGAAACCCGGATAGCTGCCTAAAATTTCTGTGAGTAGAACTGTCTTTTCCAAAAAGTGAATATTCGTTCCCCATTAGAACTAAAATCGAAGTTTGTCGACCCTGATGATAGTAATAAAACAAAAGTGGTTGATTTTTGTATATACACAAAAAGGTCTAATATAGTTATAGTTTTAGTCTTATATACAGTTTTGTACGAAAATTTAATTTAAGAAAATAACAATATCCATTAGATTTCGTGGTCCGATTGACCAAATAACATCTTTCAATTAACTAATCTTTATGTAAGGTAATAGTTGACATAAAAAAGTCGGTGTCACGAGCGGGATTCGAACCCACGACCTTCGGCTAAATACGCCGCTGCTCTACCACTCGAGCTGGATCGAAGTCACGATAGCTCAAGTCGTGGGTTCGAATCCCGCTCGTGACACTGACTTTTTCATCTCAACCAATACCTTACATAAAGATTAATCAATTGAAATATAAATAATCTTGTTTTTTTATAAAACCTACGTGTAATTTAATAATAATAGTTTACATCGTTAAGTAAATATGTCGTTGAGGAGAAGCACATTTGATCTTTTACTTTCGGGAGAAGAACAGGCAGTATCAGAATTCAATTTTGAATGGATTTTATTTAAAAATCTTAAGGAGACTTTTTATTATTGAGAATACTTTCTCACAATTGTTCTGTAAAAAAATTTTAAGAAATCAGACGCTTGCAAAGGATCTGAGATAAATCTTCAGGTCGTGAGTAAAATTTTGAAATTCTTAAGCCGGCAGTAACTGAACTGAGCTTTTTTTGTGTTGTTGTTGGTTTAACACTTTGATATGTATTTAAAGAGGTGCCTCCAGGGAGACAATTTCTAGGAATTGACGTTCATCAAAGCCCGATGTATTTTCCATGTTCAGATCCGGATTATCTCACTATATCTCCCCCACCCACCTTGCATCCGGCTTAAAGAACCCTAGGAGATAATTTGACCGATCCTTTCGGATACCGTCGGACAAGAGTCTTCCAGTTTCCTATGACAGATCGACAAAGTGGGGATGAGGGAACGGGTATTCCCAAGTTCCCCTTCCAACCACTGTTCCATAAACATAATATACTTATCTCCTCACTATCCTCAGTCTACAACCGACGTTAGTGGCGAAAGTTTGGTTTTCATTTAGTACAAATTGGTCGGATACATCAAAGAAGAGCAGAGGTGAGTCCAAGACAGTGCACAAACTAAATAGCCCGGGGTTGTCATGCCAAAAAAATTTATTAACTACTTTTTAGGGTTGTTTTTACTTTTATGTGTGTGAAATGCTTTAAGGAAACTTAGACAAATTGAATTTTGTCCGGCTTGAATTTCTCGACTTCTTTTGTACCAATCGCGTCACTGGGCAAAGCGGCTCTAACAGTTTCTCTTTGGCTCAGTGAAAGTTGCACACTATGTTTGTAGAATTGTTAATACAAGCCTACGAATTAACATATTTAATTACACTTAAATAAATAATAAATTTGTAAAAAAATTCCCATCAAGATTGTCTTCTTTTCGGAATATTCAATGTCCTTTTTCCGCAATTTGTCGTGATCCGTGAGGTGACGTGAAGGACGGACAAAAGGGGGGAAGGAAGTATAATTAGGGAATCTCCAGGATTTATTACGGTCCAAACAATTAGAATTTTATTATTTATAATAGAATTTACAAAACCCTTGGAAGAATTTCATCGTGAAAATAGTCAAATCCAGGAAAAATAGATATATCTCGGAGATCACTAACTTCCACCGTTTATAAATAATGATCATTATACTCAAATGAAGATTCTCCAGATTTATAGACAATTTACAAAACAATTGAGACATTTAAGTTCTATTTAAGGTACACAACAGTAAACAAGAGGATTTTCTGTTTATAAATCCATTAAGAGTCCTTAATTGACTTTAAAACGTGATACGTTTCGTACTAAACCAAACAAACAACTTTGTATATAAATAAACCAAAATCAACTTTGAACATTTAAATCCAAAGGAAGAGATCTCGTCGTTGAAATCAATAAACGAAAAAATCAACTAAATTAATTATGCAAAGCGGAGAAATTCGAAAATGAAAAGAGAGAGTAACTTTGGACTTAAAATTTTAGAGAAAATTTTAAATTGTTCTGTAAAAATGTTGACCTTCTCTTATTATTCCTAAAAGAAATTGAGTCGATAAAGATAGAGAAACTTTTATAATTAAAGATTATCACTCGTGATATGTGATTTCACGAAGGTTTTCTTGTTAATTTCACGTACTTTCCCAACTTTCGCGAAGTCCTCGAAATAAATAAAGAAAATTTTAAATTAAAATATAAAACAACAACACAGAAGTGAGGAAAATAATTTACGTTGAATCTGTAGAAAGTGAACGGGTGTGGTACTAATTCAAAAACGAAAGAAAGTAACAACGTTTCGATAAATAAACACTCTGTAAATTTTAAAAAAGCCTAAAAATATATTTTTCTCTTTTTTACTTACAAAATTCCCCTTGGAAAAGAAACAGTTGACGAAATAGCTCGGAAAATAAAGAACACATTCAGCAATTTAAGCATTCTAGCCTAAAGATAGCCTGTTTGACAATAGTTTTATAGAAAAAAGTGACAAATAATTGATAAATTGAAAGAATAAATAATGATATTGATCAAAAAGTCGATTGCCACCCAAATAAAATCACAAACAGTTAAAAAAATGTATGTTTTTATTTACGTACTAATCTCACCATTTTAAGAAAAGTTAAAAGATTTTTAGAAAAAAAAAGGGACAAGATTTACTATAAATTAAGAATATAGATATATTGAAAGAATAAATCATAATATTGACTAAAAAAATCGATTGTCACTCAGATAAAATCGCAAAGTGTTAGAAAAATGATATTTTTTCTTTGCGTACTAATCTCATCAGTTTAAGAATTAATTTAATTTAAACGTTTTAGATAAATTGAATGATAGTGAATAAAAAGTCAATTGTCACTAAAATAAATTCACAAACTGTTAAAAAATGTTTTTTCTACGTACTAATCTCATCAGTTTAAGAATGGTTAACTAAAGATTTTTTTTTTAAGTGGCAAGATTTACTATAAATTAATCATTTTGACAAACTGAAAGGATAAATCGCGATAATGAGTAAAAAATTAAGAATGTTACTCAAAAATAAAATCACAGTATTGAAAAATGTTTGGTGTTCTAGGTACTAATTCCTGTTTAAGAAAGGATAACTAAAGTGTTGTATCGATAAAAAAAAAGCTAGATTTACATAAATAATAACTCGCGATGTTGACTAAAAAGTCAAGATTAACACTCAAAAATCACGAAGTGTTAAAACAAAGTCAATTTTTTCTTTATGTATTTAGTACCTGTTGAACAAATGTTAACTGAACAGTTTTAAAGGAAAAAGTTTTCAAGTTAACTGCAAATTAAGCAGGAATATCAATTGAAAGTGAAAACTCGAGATGTGGGTTGTTAATAAAGATATCGCTAAAAAGTAAAGAATTTTTCAAACAAATATGTTTTCTTTCAGTATTAATTCCTCCAGTATTAATGAAAAAAATTGCTACATTTATTACAAATTAAAAATTTAGATTAAATTCATATACTAAAATCGCGATGTTGATTATCACTCAAAATCAAAATAGTTAATAAATACTAACTTAAAAGGGCTTAAAATGAAAGAGTTAATTTAGATTATCTAAGTGACAATTCGTGATATTCACCCAAGAAAATTCATGATCATTCAAATGACAAACTGTTAACAAATAGTACTTTTCTACGTTCTGTCATTTCATCTACACTCCGATGTTTTAAAAAAAGAAATATGAAATAGAAAAATCGTTATTGGGACGTCAAAAAATCATAATTATCACTCAAACAACGACAAAGAGATAAATGGTTTCCTTCCTATTCTCTACCTCCTTCAAACGACCGTGTAACAACTATTAACTAACAACTATTCTTTACTGTTAATGCCACCGAGGTTTACAATAAACAAAGGATTATATAAATTGAAAGTGAAAAGAGAAAAGGTCCACGGTTAAATCGATTTTCCTCAAGAGTTTAACGCTGCATAAAACCGTTCTATTTCTCGTCACTTTACCATTGAAAACTGTTCTCTCAAACACCGCAACATATTTTATTTGAATAATTAAATTTTCACTTTGTTAGGCGATGTTTCTTAATATGATAATGATGACGACGGGAGAGTGACTACATTCCTGGATGACGTTATCACCTCAGGTTGCTCAACGTTGCTGAAAATCATTAACTAATTGCGCTGTTTCCGGCTTAAAAGCCCCCGGACAATTGAAACTAATGCATGTAGAATTCTGATTTTGTCACATGTTCGTAAACAAAGAAACTTCCTATTTTGACAAATTGACTTTTTAGCGAATGAAGTCATTGTGGGGCTTTTCAATAACATTTGTAGGAGTGCCTTGTTTAGTCGTCCATTTTGTTTAGAGAAGGCTTTTTCCCCACTGACATTAATCATTAATTAATTATGTATAATACAATTAAATTAAACTATTTGTAGATTATTCAAATCAGATCAAACAAATGAAATCGCTGTCTGTAAATGCCACTTTAGGTTATTTGCTTACTTATTTGGTTGTCAGTAAAATAATGCAGGTTTTCCTGTTTTCTTTCATTACCCCTCTGTGTAATAAACTGATTACATTTGATGCATTATTCTTTTGTACGAATGTCAACATTTTTTTATCTTCTTCCAAACAAAAATGTTTGTTTACCTCAGTAGCATTTCGTTACTTGGGAATAATTCAGTCTTTACTGAAATGTCAACGCGTGATTTTACGTGTGTAAACTTGATCAGGATTGGGCCCAAATGGCCAGAAACCTTAATGAAGTCGGGAGCGATGGTAGTGTGAATGAGAGCACCATTTAGAGACGGTTTAAAAAATTCCGGAAGGAGACTTTAGTCTTTTAAGCAGAGGTCGTAGAAGAATTTCTTCCCTAGATGATGATGATCTGCGATCTTTGGTCGAAGAAAATCCCAGAACAACTTTGAGGACTTGCAGAGAAATCTTTCAGTTAGCAAATCGTCCGTCGCATTTTAAGATATTTGTAAAGCTGAAAAAGCTCGAAAGTTCGGTTTCTCATGCAAAAAATCATCGTTCTGTTTAGAAACGAGCCTTTTCTGCATAGAATTACTTGTGATGAAAAGTGAATTCTGTATGATAACAGCAGACATTCTGGGCAGTGGACAAGCATAAGCAACACCACACTTTCCAAATCCCCTCTTCAAAAAAAAAAAAAAAAAAGTGGTGACTTTGGTGGCTTCATTTGGCCTGATGAAGCTTCTTGAATACTGTCAGGACTGTCAATGCTGAAATGTATTACTCTCAAATTGAAGCAATGCACCAGTACTTGGCATTATAGAAGCTATCTTTGGTCAATCAGAATAGATCAATTCTGTTATACAACAATGCTTGCCTGCCATTTTTTCAGACACCAAAAAGACAACATTTTACAACAACAAAAAATTTATTGATCAAATTTGATCGTTAGAAAATGCCTTTATAAAATTTGTTATTAATAAAGGCTCAATATTCTATTCAGATGGTATATAGAAGTTGCCATCACCTTGAGTGTGATGGAGGTATTTAATTAATAAAAAAATATTTAAAATCGTTTATTTAATTTTTTGGTCTCATTTAATTTGGTTTACACTAAAATAAGTCTGTTATAATTAATTAACGATAAAAATACATACAGTTTGATAAACAACAAAATAAGGGTGTCTAGTTTTTGTCTTTTATTCAAATTAGTTCTACCATTTGAAATCACTGTCTCTTGAGGGTATTTTATGTTGTTTGCCTACTTTTAAATAAACAAGTTGAATTTCCTCTTTGACCTTTTACACAGAATCCACAAAATAAAGTATGAAAACTTAAACGTAAAAAAGAATTGTATGCAAATTACAAACCCATGTTACTTTTTCTTTTGTGCCTATGCTAATAATAATGCTAATAATATTAATGATTTAATTCAACTCGAGAGTATCTTACAAAGTTTATGACAAACCAGTAATTTTAAATGAAAAATTAACTGCCAATAGTGTAAATCACACTGCCCTCCAAGCAGACTTTAACTTTGTCATATTGTCAAATTAATCAAACACAAAACTTCAGATATTTTTATATTGCTTTTGGTTTCTATTAACATTAATCAAGTTGATTAATTCAATAAACTTAAGACGAGTAGGATAAGCTTTTGTTTGAACTTAATATTTTTGCTCAGCTTTGCAGTTATTGATTAGAATAATGTTGTGCTAATGGCTTTTTCACAAAGAGATTAAAAAAACTATTAATACGTTAACTTATATTTATTTCTCTCAGTATATATTACCAAACAAAATATTAAGATTTTCAAAATAATTTTTTTAAATTATATAATTTATTTAATGCAATGTCTTCAAATTACAGATGAGGGAATTAATATGGGCAGTACTTATATTCCTGCCTTCATTAACAACACAGCAATGCTTAACGTCTTCCGACAGCAAGCCTATGGATGTGAACGCTCGTGAATATCTCAGCACAGGGGAGCAGCAGTTCACTCTAAATATGATCAAGTTGGTGAACCGGCAAAGGCAGACGGAAAATGTGTTTTTCTCTCCGTTCGGCATTTACAACGCTCTTCTCCTGGCTTATTTCACCGCCAATGGCAATACAGAAGCTTCAATTAAACAAGTGCTCGGATTGCCTGCAAATCATGTAAGAAAAGAAAAACGGATATTTAAAGAGCTTTCAAACTGACAAATAAAAAAATATATTGCCTATTAAATATTTGCACAATTTTTCCATGGTTTGTGCCGGGTGTTGGTCTGTAAGCGGTGTTAAACCAGCACTGGGCCCATCTAAACTTTCAGGTTTTTGATGTTATTCAAAAACATTTCTCACTGAAGATGAGCGAACACGTTTGAGTTGCATAAAAACCCATGAGTATACCACACACCCAGTGCCAGTTCAACATTTTTTCCAAGTTTTATAATAAAAACAACAAATAAAAAAAACAAGTAAATTGTTTTGATAAAATCATTTGTTAAACATTGTGGAGAGATCTATGAAGCAATAAACTTGTCTCTGATCATCTCAATTTTAACTGATTAATAGTGCATTTATTTATTTATTATTTCCTTCTTTAGGTATCAAAGCAGAGACTTAGCATAAAATAAGCTTTACAGTAAACATAAGACCAATCACTAGTGATAAAAAATGTCAAAATGCGCCTTCAGACAAGACCAGGATAGTCAATGACAAAAAATATAAATATAAACATACAGTAAGCAGATAAGACACTTTTTTATCAATGGTCACTGAAACTACTTCATAATAAAGTGGGATCATATTGTGAAAGTTCTGTTTCTACATTATTTACAATTTGATTAATGATTACAGTTGTATTTTTCTTTCAATTCTTAATTAACATTACACAACATCATAATCTTAAGTTTTAGCAGTTTTGATTTAAACAAAAAAATATTGTCGTGAAACAATTGTTGTAATAAATGCTATTATAAAGATTTTTAATTGTTAAAATTTACTTATTAATTATTTATTTATATTTGATTGAAACATCTTATATTATTATATATATATTTTTTTAGGACAAGGCAAACACAATGCAAGTATACAAGCTGGAAAGGTACTACCAGAAAGCTCGAGAATACAACACTTCCAGTTATGAATTTTCAATGGCGAACCGCTTGTTCATCTCGCCGACGGAGGAAGTCAAGGAATGCATGAAATCGCTGTTTGAGGAAGAAATAAAAGTGACAGATTTTAGCAAAAATCCTGTTAAAGAGATTAATCAATGGGTCTCCAATCTGACACGAGATCAGATCAAAGATTTCCTTCCAGAAAATTCGCTGGACCCGAACTCAAAACTTGTTTTGGTATGTTTTGTAATTTTTAATTTTTTCCTCCAAAATTTAAAATATTATATTATATTGTTTTATATTTAAATTAAAGGTCAATGCAGCATATTTCAAAGGAATGTGGACAACTAAATTTGTAAAGGGAGACACCAAGAAGGAAGTGTTTTATATTTCAAATTCCAATACTACTTTTGTTACGATGATGAAAGTGAAATCGACATTTAACCACAGTAATTTATTTTCTTCATATTTTTTCCCTTTTGTCTTTCAGTATAATTAATTTCTACTTTTTTAACAGTGGTATCGGAAAAACTAGGAGCTCACATCTTAGAACTCCCTTACCAGGGTGATGCCATTTCTATGTTTATTATGCTGCCTCCTTTTGCCAGCCCTAATGGGGTCACCAATATTCTCGAAAGGCTCACCCTTAATACTTTGAAAGAAGTTATCAATAACAATACCGTTTCTAGGTTGGTCGAAGTTAAAGTACCAAAATTCACCATTGAACATGAATTAGACCTGGTGCCTGTGAGTATCAAAATAATATTTCCATTCCATCAAAATAATATAAAATAATCTCTTAACTGTAGTCATTTTTCTCTAACAAGGCATTCTGTATTATCTAAAACTAATTTTTAATTTTTTGTTAGGTTTTAGAACAGTTGAACGTAGGAGACCTTTTTAAAGATACAAGCGACCTTACAGGGCTGACAGGAAAGCCAGGAATACATTTGGACTCGGCATTGCATAAGTCGAAAGTTTCGTTGGATGAGGACGGTACAACAGCTGCCTCGGCCACAGCGTTTTTCAGCTTTAGATCGTCCAGGCCTTTGGAGCCAGCACGATTCTACTGCAACCACCCATTTGTCTACTTCATTTACGACCACATCTCCAAGAATATACTTTTTATCGGTGTCTTTAACAAACCCACTGAAACAACAACTTAAAAAGAAAAGACACTTAACCGTGTAAATATATATATATTTAACTATTGTAAATAAATACAATTTAAAATATAGATAAATAAAAAAACTGTCACTTATCTTATAATCTAGAATAAGTATGAATTGGAATACTTGGGGGAAACAGTTACCCCGCACCAAAACTATATTTGAAAATAAGTCCTACTTATTTTGTATATGTGTTTCTATTGTAAATATAAGTGCATTCCATTCCAAAAATAAAAATAAAATAATTATATTGTATTTATTTAACTGTCACTTAAATATTGTGTGATTGTTATGTGTTTTTCCTTTTCTTGCATCCTTTTGTTTAAAAATAAGATCAAATTTGAACTTGCATTGACTTCTAAATAGGGAATTTTTCAATGGCCAATAAATAATCAATGCAATACTTGTAGTTTGATCCTTATTCATCATCTTGGTCTTCCTATCCTCACTGGGTTAGTCTGTCAGACGCGTTTCATCATTTTGCCATCTTCAGTGTGTGACAATATGAGAATAGACAGACCAAGATGACTGGTAAGGATCAAATTAAAGATTCATCACCCCTCAGACCCTAGGAGAAAATTTCATGATTGAACTGAAAAGTTTTGGTTTAAAAATTCTCACAAGCTGTGAACCAACAAGGAAAATAATAGCTCAATTGAGGGTCAAGTATGCTCATAAAGTCACTATCAAATATATAATAAGTTTGGCAAGTAGATTATGTCCATGATGCACTCCGCATCCCAAACTGATGTGCCTCAAGTCCTCCTGAGTCACATCTCAGTTGAATTAATTTCAATATACTTCGTAGATTGCATACCCTACACTAAGCCTGGACAAGGTTGTACAAAAGATCTTATTCTTCTTTTCCCCGGAATATCACAGCCTATTGCAAGAAGATAATGTGCATATGGTGAGATCATACGGGATGCTTTATTATGTGCTCCTTGTAACCAACCAAACTGTTAATTCTAGTGAATACTGCACACAATCGGAGCAATTAAAGTCAGCAATTGACAAAAATTGACATGCATTGGCTGATCATTGCCGCAGATGCACCAGAAATTGTTGGATCTTCGCTGGGATGTGCTCTATTTAAGGTGCATACACTAAGCAAATCTCGGCCAATGAAAGACAACCAATTTATTGGGCCAAACGTTGGTCACCAACACATTAGCCAACCTAGGCTCATCCTCGTCAAACCAATGGATTCGGCCATGTGGAATCAAAGTTGGTGCTAAAAACAAACAAAAATTGTAGAGTTCATCTGCACCACTTCGTTTTGTTTTTCTCTTTATCTTTCCCAACAAAAATACGCGAATAAAGATTCCATCTTTTTTTTTCACACTACCTTGTATCTTCTAAAAGCTCACTTATTTCCCTCCAAGCAACTAATATTTTCAATTTGTTTTTATATTCACAGTTCGTAGGGTCCCATAAACATTCCCGTTCACAATAAAATCCTACCAGTTTTAATACAGACTCATTATTCCACTCCATATTCCAGTGTTTTTCAGCACAAGAAGCATGAACCATAGAGCCAGCGTCTACTCTAGGAGGTCTTTAGGCCAACCCAACATCAAATCTTTTGAACTTACTGCCAGCAGTTCAAACCCCGACCAAGACCTACCGCTTCATTTGTCTGATTCACCTCCCATGCACACTAAGCAAATCATGGCTAACAAAGCAGTTAAGCAGTTGGTTGTCTTTGTGTTTTTGCACCTTAATGGGAAGCACTTGACTTCACTTGATGACTGCAGAAGTTCATTGCTCAAAAGCCTGAGGAGCATTGGGCGGAGTTACAAAAAGTAATGCACGGTACCAACAGGTAGTGGGAAAATGGTTTAAATGCTGTTGATTAATTTTGTTTACAAGTAACTGAAATTTTCATTGAATTTACCATATACAAAATGATATGGACTAATTTTATGACTCAATATGTACCTTACGAAGTCTCTAGGATATATAATTAAGCAAATTTATATTTATTATACAATTATGCAATTTATTATATTAAAGTACTTTTTGCATTTTATAGTTATATTTAAATATATATGTAAAAAAATACTGCCTTCTTTTTCAAATTTATGCATATACAGAGTCGTCCAAAATAGCCGAGTTGATTTCTCAATAGGCTTGCAATATAGATATATCTACGATCTTGTGTGTTTGAATCCCACATGGGTAAATTTTTTTGCTAGCTTTGGCAAAAAAATGCAATTTTGAGGATAAAATTTAAAAATAAAAAATTAAAATACAATAAATATTTTAATTTACACTTTGTACATTAACACGCAACAAGCTGCACTGTTATTTAAATCTTCTTTACAATATAAGTAGTCTCGAATATCATAATCGAGCAACATCTTGGTGTGTTTTGAACCATTCCACCGTTTCGCTTATTGCGACCGAGAAAGGCGTGAATTTAAAATCTGGCCAAAGCTTTTGGACTTTTTTATTGCTGGCCGTTTTTTTATATTGTCCATCTGCTTTTGTTGTATCGAAAATAATTTCGCCCTTGAATCCGAAAGCGTTTGCTATCGAAGTAGCCGTGTCAGCAATCGAAACTTCACTCTCTTCTCCAACTGAAACGATTTTATTGTAATTCACTGTTTAAAAAAAAAATAAATATATATAAATACCTGAAAGGATAATCGGCTCGACTTCATTGTAATCTTTCAAAACTAAAATAATCAATTTGGCCAAGTCTAAAGAATATATGAACTGTCTCATAGGTTTTCCAGTCCCCATGACAGTGAAAGTCTCATCACCTAAAAATATAAAATAAACTTTATTCATTAATAATTAACAATGTAACAAAAGAATAATATAACGGGCAAACCTCGTTGCATAGAATCATGTAACTTCCTTATTAATCCTGGAATGACATGGCTATGTTCAGTATTAAAGTTGTCATAAGGGCCAAAAACATTACAAGGGACAACAGACGTAAACAATTTGTTATGCTGTTCATAATAGCCCCTGTTTAGAATATCCAGCATTCTCTTTGCATAGCTGTAGCCAAAATTCGAAGGATGTGGCGGCCCGTTATGTATCTGACAAAAAATTATATATAAAATCTGGCTTACAATTACAAACCATTATTAAATAAAAAACAAACCATGCTTTCATCTATAGGATAGGTTGTTTTATCAGGAAAAATACAAGTAGACAGACACGAAACAACTTTGACAACTCCATGTTCAAAACTGGACTGAAGAACATTGTCATTGATCATCATATTCTTTCTCTAAAATAAAACTAACATTATTTCTCAACATGAGTAAATTACATTCATTTTAACAAATGAAGACGTACAAAAAAATCCAAGTTATGAGCCATGTTGTGAAAAAGCCCACCGACCATCGCTGCTAAATGTATCACATGCGTTGGCTTGTGCTTTAGAAAAATTTTACGTGTCTCTTGGGGATCACTGTAAAAAATTTTGTTGAAGTAAATAGTTCTAAAAATTTCCTCTAGATTCTTACGTTAGGTCAGCATCTTTTGAGCCAATAAAAATCCATTTTTCATCAAGATTACTCTCCTTTTCCAACACGATTTGTATTGCTTTTCCAACCAAACCAGTTCCGCCTGTGACCAGCACTACCTTCTCAACCATCTCTTTAAAAAATATAAATAATATATTTCAATATTATATAATCCTGACTATAATAAAAACTATATGGAGAAAAGCTCTGATTAAAAATTTCCATGGGACGTGAAGAATCTAACAGTGCTTGTAAAATGTTTCACTTCTTTCTACTATACAAACAAACAAATGATATTATTTCATGTTTCAGCATACAACACACTTGCGTCAACTACTGACACATAAGGCTAAAACCTCTTTCTGGCAGTTAGTTGCTTCGATGAGTTAAAAGGATGGGTATAAAGTCCGAGGGGATCTAAGTCACAATAGCTCAAGTTGTTACCAAAAAAGAATAATTAATTGTAATAATTAATATGGTCATGAACATTAAATATGAAATTTTATTGATTAAAAGCAATAAGTTAAACCATGTTTCACCTTATTTCAGTTAGGTTAAGACTTAATTAAGTTGTTCACCATGTTTATTTTCAGTTAAGATTAAGAACATTTTCTTGTAGCGTAAGTTGTTTCTAAAGCAATTGCTTGATGATTTTGGCCGTAAGTTCAGATACAATTTCCAGTCTTTACATAGAAACTATGTCTAGTTCCTCCCTCTGGAGGAGCTTTTACACAAGAGAAAACACGACTATTTTGGAAAAATCAAGCTATTTTGATGAAGACCTTGAGAATTTTAAGTGCTGCTGAAATCATTTAATTTATTGTATTTTACTTTGAAAATAGGTCAGTCTATTTGATTTATTAATTTTTTTAATGTTGAGACATCAGTTTAAATATGTTAATTATCCATGATAATCTGGTCTCAGTATGGTCTGAATGAAAAAACAAATTCAATCTATTTTAAGGTCATCATCAGGGCAAAACAATCTTAAAGATGTGCAAATTGACATAATTAAGTTTTTAATAGATGGTTTCAAACTACTAGTTCCAACAAAACTTTATGTTTACATTTTACATTACAATTTAATTTCACGATATCTGAATAACTATTACAATTTAACAAGTCATTACAGTCCATCGCACTTTGGGACTTAGTTGGTTTTCACAGAAATTTGAAACCAACTATTAAAAACTTAATTAGCTCAATTTGTAGACATCTTTAAGGTTGTTTTGTGCTGACGATGATCTTAAAATTTTAGCTTACAAAAGCTTGACAGATAACAATTTACTTTGTTGTTTTCATCCAGATCGTACCGAAATCCAGATTATTCATCAATAAAAAATGGTCAATACATTTAACACTTTAAACATAAATTTGTTATGTGCAATCAGCAAAATTTCATTAAATAAAAAAGTTTCATACAAGACAAACAAACAGTAAGTGATATGCAAGACGAGACAATCAAGCTATAGGCTCATCATAAAATAAATTCTGAACACGCAGCAATGCCACTCAATTTGAGAATCACGGCAAGGCAGTGAGTATTTGGAGCTCCTATTCTAATTGTGAATGTATCTATTAGCTTGAATGTACTAGGGGTCTATGGCGAAATGTCAAGTACCCCATCGACCCTCAATTAGGTAGATTGTTTATGTGTAAAAGGTGATGGAGGAATATCAAGTACTCCACCACCCAAATTGAACTAAATAGGGGTGAATATTTTAAGAATGAATGGGAGTATTCACGGGTTCGGAACTGCATGCATTAGGTGCTAAATTGCCCTAGCTGTTCAGATCACCCTCCCCCCTGGGTGAACATCGGTGGCTGGATAGGATAAGACTGAGGTCTACCCCCAGGCTACTAACACCCTGCGTAGGTATTCTCGAGCCTGCCGGCAGTTTACTGTAAACAGCAAAAGCTGGAATTGCCAGTGGACTACAAGAGGCAAACATGTTTGCATGTACGTACATGTGCAGATTTGAGCGTACATAAATCCAAGTCTAAAATACGAACTGAGTATGAGTAAATCAAAAATTGTGCACTTATTTTTACAATAAATATATAAAGCTTGTAATGGTATTTTAATGTTTTATAAATATTATCGCCTGTTTGATTTAAAGAGGAAAAATAGAAACAATAAACCAACTGTCAGTGATATTTTACAGCTTTCAGTTGGAAACTTGGAACCTCTCGAGTAAAAAGAATATTGTTTCATCGATGAAAAATAAGGTACACAAACCCTAAAGTAAAATAATAAAACTAATTAAAAACAATAAATAAATTTCATTTGGACGAGATCTGAATTGATTGAAACTAGCAGATTATTTTCTTCAACTTACTTGCCGGACAAATCGATTTTCTAAAGATTCTCTAGCTTTAAATCTGACAACTTCACAAATCACAATTGACTTGTCAATGAAAGTTGAAACCTGTGACAGTGAAACCGGTTGGTATCGCTAGAGAGTGGAGTGTGGACAATAAGCCCACGTTTCACATTGAATCGATTTTACTTTTACTTTTTTTAATTTTCTTTTACTATCTGTTTAAGAATTGATAATCGAAAAATTACATTTTTAACTCTTGAGGTAGTTGGATCGTGACATTTCTACAAAATATTGACTTGTCTCACAAACTATAAATAAAAAAATTGTATATGTATTTAATGTAAATTTGACTGTAAAATGTAATACTATCGATTCCGTTGTGTCATCATGTTACATCAACCAATAGAAAAAGGCATATTTAAAAAAAAATCCGTAAGCAATAAAGCAAAAGAAAATATACTATCAAGAAACTGCATTACTACTGACTATAATAATATAATAATAATAATAAATGCATTTCATTAATATTTACAATACAAAACATCTTTTTGTATTACAAAGTATACAAATACAAACTACATGGACTATATGCATCTGAAGTAGTATTGACTCAAATGTGTTTAAAAATAAATATAGAAATATAAAGTTCCTAAATAATAGTTGAATTCTTCTATTAAAATTTTTTGTAATTGTAATTGCAGCACGTAACTGACTAAATTTTCCCAGTTGCTGACACTTGACTTGAAAGGATATTGGTGTGTTAACGCGTCAGTTGTATGCAACTTTTAAAGTACTAACAAGTAAAGTCACTTTAGTTGTTAGTACTTCTATTCGCAAATTTCACTAGATCTATCTGAAAGTAATCTCACTTTTATTTATGTTCCTGGCAGTCGCATGACACGTAGTGGTTGGTATTCAAGCTAGTGAGGGAGCAGAACTTACTTCCCAGGGGAGCGAATTCCATAGTCTTGATCTTCTGAATTCTGAAGGATAATGCTAAAGTTTCATGTTAGTGTTGAAGGCTTGGGATATGATTGGCACATTAGGATAAGGAATGTGGGGAAAAAAGTTGATAAATATTGAGGACATTATTTGATTTAATTTTAAATATGTATATTAAAAGTGAAGGTTGCTGAAGACGTTATTATAGGAGTAAATATGATTCCTTGGTTTAAGATCATAACAGAATCTAATATAGGAATGGTAAGCAAATTGAAGGCGATGACCACTTGACGGTCTAAGGAAAGGGAAAAAATAGTGCAACAGTAATAGATTAAAGGAATTATTAGGTATTGAATAAGGTGAAGAAAGAAGTTTTCTATGGAATGAAAAAGCTAAGGCAATGAAGTGAATGGAAGCTCGAGTGGACCTTTTTAATAATATAAAATAATTTGAGATTTTTAACTTTAGGACAAAAATTATATTAATTAATTCAAAAATAAATAATAAATAATAAGTTAATATATAAAATTATATATCTACAAATTAAATAATTTATTTTTTGATAGGTGGTTTCAAAGTTCTTTAAAGATACACTGAGTCCCAACAAAACTTAATTTTGATGACCTTAAAATAAATTGAAAGCTTGGCAGTTAACAACTGGATTGGTTTTTTTCATCCAGGCCATACTGCGATCTGGAAATTAGATAAGTGCATTTTTCATTAAGACTTTAAGCCTGTAAGTCTCTGGGCAATTTATAGAGTTCATAATATTTTCCTTTTAAACACAATGTGCCTTTTAAGACACCTTGAAACATTTTGATAATTCTACTTATACCAAAGGTCTAAAATTTATAATTGCAATCCACGAAAGTTTTGTGACTTATCAAATTTTGCCCCGAGAGGACAAATATATCACTAATGTTCTGACACAGAAAAGGGATTGATAATTAGTGATTCCTAAGACATTAGCACTGGTAATTAAGCATTAGAATTTTTCTATTTATGGTCTTTTTATTTTTGTTTTCCATTATAGATTAATTATTGTGAAGGTTTTATAAGCCAAGAAATGTCATAAATTTACCTAGTTTTAAAATATTTTAGATGATGTTGATTATACTTTTCTGTTTATTTTGCAATTAAATTAAACTGCATTAATTTGAAAGATAAAATCAACACAATTTAATTTCAGGCAAACTTTTTGTGAGTGAAAAGTGTCAGTAATAGTGTTTATATTGTGCATTTTGAACCAATTTATCACCTGAATACTTTAAAAACTGCGAATAAAATGTTAAGTATTATCTATAAACAAGAAAAAGAATAATATGTGCTTTTCTTTAATTTTAATTCGGTCAGTAGCATTTGGAGATTTCAATTCCAATGACGTTCAAGAGTCGACAGGATAAAATCGATCCTGCTTATAAAATACACTCCAGTGACCTATTGTCAGTGAAACTCCCGCCAGAATTTCCACCTTGCCTTAACACTTAACACCCTTAACATTTAACCTTCGTATTATTGTTAAAAACTCATGGGACATACTTTTAGTGATTTTAACAGGTTTTTCACTGACAGTTTATTTCATCGAGAAGATGACTGTTTGAAATAATCAATTGGATATATAACGTAAGTTCCTTGTTTTATAAGAGTAAAATTTTAATCTATTTTCTCTTAAAATTTTAAACAAATAAAAATGCAAAAACTCCTCTTAATTTCATATTTATTGTTATTGCAAATTTACTTTTGCTCGATGAAGGCATGTCGTTTTGGTTGAAATTTTCATGGATGTCAGAGATTAATTTATTTTTATTTTTCTCTCATAATTTAATGTTCAATTATTTGTTTATCTTTAATTTGTAATAATGCTCTGAAACATTTACTGTCAGAAAGATGTACTTTTAACATTATATGTAGAAAGAATTTTCTTGGGTACACTATGTATGATTAAAATTATAATTAGCCGGTACTTTAGTTAATAAAACTGTGCACAGATAATATACAACTACATTATGTATAGATAGTAATGTTCTATTTATGATTTTCAGATAACAAAACCTGGCAGAATTTTTCCTACAGAATAATTTTGTTTTTTAATTATTGAGTTTTTTTTATTAGCTATATTTTGACATTTTTTCCTGCTGTCATTTAACACTTTACCTCTCTGTAAGAACAACTCTTTAACGCTCCGAAGAAGCCTGAAAAACCCAGATTATGGAACCGGCAAAAAGCTGAAAGCACCAAGGAAAAGTAGTATATAAACTTCACAGAGGCAAAAGGATCCAAAGTTCCACAGTTTTCCGTACAGGCTGATGGAAAGGAGTTCTGCCGATCAATATGTGGACTAAGAACAGGACATGCTTTACTTGAATGTAAGATGCAATTCTCTGGGAGATACCTATCAACTGTGCTCTTGATGTGCAAGAGTTTTGGTTGGCCTGGTTCATTTAGGCAGAGTGCACACCAAAAAAACTGATTTCATAAAACTCATTTTCAGAAACCAATTTCTAGAGATCATTCCCACTGAAGAAATTGTATTATGAAATGTATGTCCAACAAAGAAGCTTTTATTATTTGATGGTGGCTGAAAAATAAAAAAAGGAAGAGGAAGTACTGGGTTCATAACTTAATAAAAAATCAGGAGTACAGTGTGCTTATGAGAAAAAATCCTTAGGTTTTATAGAATCAAAACCCTTTTTGGACTACTGCTGGAATTAGTCCCCTCATACTTAAAACAGAAAACACTTCAAGTGTGCAAGTCTGTGTTTTTCAACCAATCAAATTCAACTTTCAGGTTTCATGCATCCTGCCTTCTTTTCTTTACCATTTTCTTTATTGCTCGTTTAGAGTCCATGAGTCAGATCGTGATAGTGTCTTCTGGAGGGAAACTTTTACAATTTTCTATGCTGCCCTCCAGCCCGTGTCCAGACTACCACTACTGCTTTTCCTGGATGCTCCAACTCAGTGTATCTTGATAACAAAACAACGACGAGAGGGTCCATTGAAAATCTGTTCTTTTGGACTCACAATGCACTCAGAAGTCGGTGCACATGAAGTAGGAAGGATTAATTCTTTATAAATTATCCTTTTTTTAAATATTTGCTTGTACTAAATGCAATAATGTAAACAATCATTTAACCCTTCAACACACATTCAACCAGATCAACTTATCAATTTTATTTATGTTTTATTAACTTTGTTTAAATGTGTAATATTAGTTTTGAGAAAATATTTTTTAAATAAAAAAGCAAGTGGTGTAATGTTAAAGTTTTTTTTTTTTGCTTTAGTGAGGTACCATAGCCATTTGCTCTAGATCTTTTTTTTTCTTTATATAGTTTATTTTAGATTGTTTATTTATTTATTTTTTTTACCATTAATGAAAATCTATTAATTTATTTATTTGTTATATTATCTAGTTAATGTTTACATTATGCTAAAAACTATAACTCATAATCAGTCTTTTGGTCTCACTATCATATATCTTACATTCATACATTGACACATATATTCATATACATATTCGCACACACAAACATACTTTTTTCTTTCTTTAAAATTAAATGCCCACTTCTTTTTTATAAACTGTCATATAAAACCCTGAATACCTCATAGTTCTGAGAACTTAAGATGGTGTTCAAGTTAAATGGGCAAGGGATTATGCGAACAAGCAAGTATAAAGTTTCCTTCCTTGGTTCGTCATGTTTAGAACAGATCATAATTACATATTCGATAATTTCCGCTTTTTAGCATCTATAGCATAGTAGTGAATGTATTAGACCAAATGGGTGCAAGCCTTGCTATATATAATAAATAAATTAATAGATTTTCATTAATGGTAAAAAAATAAATAAATAAACAATCTAAAATAAACTATATAAAGAAAAAAAAAGATCTAGAGCAAATGGCTATGGTACCTCACTAAAGCAAAAAAAAAAAAACTTTAACATTACACCACTTGCTTTTTTATTTAAAAAATATTTTCTCAAAACTAATATTACACATTTAAACAAAGTTAATAAAACATAAATAAAATTGATAAGTTGATCTGGTTGAATGTGTGTTGAAGGGTTAAATGATTGTTTACATTATTGCATTTAGTACAAGCAAATATTTAAAAAAAGGATAATTTATAAAGAATTAATCCTTCCTACTTCATGTGCACCGACTTCTGAGTGCATTGTGAGTCCAAAAGAACAGATTTTCAATGGACCCTCTCGTCGTTGTTTTGTTATCAAGATACACTGAGTTGGAGCATCCAGGAAAAGCAGTAGTGGTAGTCTGGACACGGGCTGGAGGGCAGCATAGAAAATTGTAAAAGTTTCCCTCCAGAAGACACTATCACGATCTGACTCATGGACTCTAAACGAGCAATAAAGAAAATGGTAAAGAAAAGAAGGCAGGATGCATGAAACCTGAAAGTTGAATTTGATTGGTTGAAAAACACAGACTTGCACACTTGAAGTGTTTTCTGTTTTAAGTATGAGGGGACTAATTCCAGCAGTAGTCCAAAAAGGGTTTTGATTCTATAAAACCTAAGGATTTTTTTCTCATAAGCACACTGTACTCCTGATTTTTTATTAAGTTATGAACCCAGTACTTCCTCTTCCTTTTTTTATTTTTCAGCCACCATCAAATAATAAAAGCTTCTTTGTTGGACATACGTTTCATAATACAATTTCTTCAGTGGGAATGATCTCTAGAAACTGGTTTCAGGAAATGAGTTTTATGAAATCAGTTTTTTTGGTGTGCACTCTGCCTAAATGAACCAGGCCGACCAAAACTCTTGCACATCAAGAGCACGGTTGATAGGTATCTCCCAGAGAATTTAAACCACATGAGAAGGATCATCCTAACTCGACTCAGAATTGGCACTATGCAGTTGAAACATGGACACTTTTGGGCCAAAGTCCTCGTATGTGTCCAGCATTCAGAAAAAGTTGCTCTTTGTGTACCATTTAATTAAAGAGGGTCATTCCTAGGTTCCATACAGACAGCTTGTAGGAATGCCAGGTGATAGTACAAGAGGATCGACAGGAATATCGAATACTCTCCTCCACTACATGAGTGAATCGTATGCAAATTGGAAAGAATGTGGGAATGAGTGAGAGTGTGTCTAGGTTTAAACTCTGCATGCATAAGAGGTGGGAATGTCCTTGTCGACAGCCCTTGCTATTAAACAAATAAATAAATTACAAAAATAATATTTCTTATACATACTTTGACGTTTGATATTTTTTTATCTCAACTAAAAACCTTAATTAATTGACAGATATTAATTGGTCAAGTGGACCATGAAAACTAGTGAATTTGACATTTATGTTGTTGTCTTTCCTGACCCCTTTTACCACTGTCTTTCTCGAAGATTTATTTTATTTTTATTTTTTTTAGTTTTATGTTTTAGCAAGCTATGATTTAATTTAAAATATGTTTTATTTTTTTTTTCTAGATGGCAACAATATCTGGATATTTGTCAGCGGAACTTGCCGCCACTTGTAACGCACTCGGTTATTACGACGGCAAGAAGTACCATTTGGAACCACATTGCAGAGGTTTGTGCTTATCAAATTTTACAATTCGTTCTTAGTACCATCTAAATATTTATTTTCATATCTTATTTCAGAGACTCTCAGGGATCTTATAAGATATCTTAAGAAGGATGGGGAATCGCATGAGATCCGACGTTACCTCGGCAATGCCAAACTTCTTAAAACTGATCTCTTACCGATAGTTCAGTGTCATTATAAAGAGCTTGATTTGTTTGATGTTGCAATAAGGTGTTTTAATTTATCTAAAATATTATTAAAAATTAATTTCATTTTGGCAAATATTTGTCAAAGTAATTCAGTCTTCAATTCAGTTTTATTGAACCACAAATTTTTACAACATAAGTTTATAATTAAATTAGTAAATATGTAATATTAAACTGAAAGTTTTTGATGCTTTTAAGCATAAATTTGTTACCTATTCCAGTATTTTACATATGTTGAATGATTATTGGGGAGGAGGCCATCAAAGAAAATGTAAAAAATTTAGTCAAACTTTCAGCCAATTTAATACCTTCAACAGGACTACAAGCATTTCTGTGAGGTCCATATGGACTGATGCTCTTTGTTTCTTTTAAGCTATAGATTGCAGTCCTGACAAAGGTATTAAATATGCCAGAAGCTTGACTACAATTTTTTGAGTTTTCTTTGATGGTTCCTCTCCTCCTAATTCTCATAAATATATGTGATATAAGAATACTGACTTAAAAATCTCATTAAAAGAACTATATTCCATTATTGATTTAATTTTCTTGGAGACTACTTAAATCATGTTAAAAGTTAATTTTTATATTAATAGGCTTATAGTAAATCTTACAAACCCTGCCCTACTCGTATATAATGATGTAATTCCTGCTGATAAATGTGAGCACAATCAGTACCTAGAGCTTGTTTCACATTTGCAATTTTACAAAGAAGCTTTCAACGACTACAGGGTCTGGTCCTCTTTTACAGACAGGCTCAGCACACTTCTCAATAAGGTAAATCGACTTTTAAACGAAATGTAATTTTACCCTATATTCTGTCGTATTTGTCAGCCGAGTGAAGAACGGGATGACGACGACCAGAGGTCAATTGAAAGAATCCTTATACTTATTCGTAATATCTTGCACGTACCAGCCAACACAGTTTCCGACTGGAGACCCGATAACGATGCTAGTATTCATGATCAGGTATTATTGTTTATTTAATTACAAATTGATTCTTAACTAAAAAGATAATTTTTGAAAGGTTTTATGGGCTCTTCATCAATCTGGAATGATTGACATTCTTTTATACATGTCCAGCTCAGACAAGGAAGTCAACTTTTACATGCATTTGTTAGAGGTGAATTGTAACATTAAATTTTGTCATTGGGCACTGTTTAAAAAATAATTTTACAGATAATATGCCTCATGGTGAGAGAACAGCCGCCTGCACTTTTGGCGAATACGACAGCTCAAAGAAGTGAAGATGAAAAATGCAGGGATGAACAAGAGTTGTTACAAATAAGACAAACGGAAATACAAGAAAAGCTTAAAAAACAAAAAAAATATTTTGGCACAAGGTAAATCTCTTTAAGATTGAATAGCAGGTAAAATTTCAAAATATTGGAAATAACACTTAATACTTATGGTCCAAAACTACTGTTGATCTCATTGAAAATTTTCATTGCCAAAAATAAGAAATATATTTCATCACAGATTTGTACCTAACAACTCAATTAATTAAATAAATAAAAAATAAAAAAATCAATTCTAGGCACTCAAACTTTGGTGGCACTTTTGTTGTCAAAAATATGAAATCTACCAGTGATAAAGATATGATATACCATAAGCGGATTCAAGAAGCCAAGTATATCACATTTGACCAGGAAAAGGTGAAATTAATAAAATAAATCCACTAAAAAAAATATATATGTATATTATTTGTAATCATTAGCAAAAAGCAAGGATTCCAAAAAATAAACAACCTTTAAGGTGTAACAGTACGGAGCGCCGTTCAGCCCTGAGCGTCCGCCTCATATTAAAACAGTTCTGCATAGAAATACTGCATGCTGCTTACAACCCCCTCATGCAGCATGTTAGGGTAAATATTTCTTTTAATGCTCTTTTAATTTCAATTTTCATTGTTTATTTTTTGCTCTAGGAATGTTTGGCAAGGGGAAAGACTCAAGATAACGACGAGTCTTATTATCTTACAGCTTTAAAATTTTTTATGGAATTCAATAGATTTTATAGATTTCAGGTCAAATTTGTCAGGTATCCGTGTTGTAATATCCTTGTTGTAAACAAATTGAAATAACGTCTTATCAATTTCAGTGAAACGATGGCAGTTGAAACATTCCACTTTGTCCAAAAATGTTTGGAGACATGGTACGAAATTATGACTACTGACAAAAAGAAGATAAAGCTGTGGTCCTTCCGCATGCATCTCGCTCTAAAAGCTTATAAGGTTTTTAAAAAATAATCAAACGCTTTTTTTAAATTTATTTATTGCTATTCACATGTTTTTTTATTGTCTCCAGGAACTTTTACAAAATCTTATGTTAATGGATAAGAATGAAGATTCTGGAGTTAGAGAATCGTCTAAAGTGATAAAAAGCAATATTTTCTATGTAGTTGAGTACCGTGAACTTCTTTTGATCTTAGCAAACACTTATAAAAAACAGAATTTCTCAAAGTACAGTGTTTTTGTTTTTTCTTCAAAATTTTGTAGTACTTGTTAATTAATGATTCTTCAATTTTAGGCAATATTTAGTAGATTTGATAGAAACTATCCACATATTTTTAAAACTTGTTTGTGATTTTTGTAAAAATAAGAAAATAATGGTGCAGAAGAAACAGACTAAGAGAAAAAGCAAGAAGAATAAAAAAAGTAATGCACATCAAATTAATTTTATTACTTTCTTTGAAAACAAATTTGGTTGCAGAATCTACTCCTCAATTAACAGCGAATTTAGAAGAAATATGGGAGCAAAATAGAAGTGAAATTTTGAAAACTCTTTCAACAGAAATTGATAAAGTTGTAATTCCTTTTGATGCAACGTTGGAAATGGATATGGAACAGCAAAAGTATGATTCTTCAACTTGTTTAATCCAATGATTCATTGATTATTTTGAGACTATTAATTTTTTAATGTTAATTGTAGGTTTGAAGCCATAAAGCGAATTAACTTTTTGTTGAAATCAGGAAGTTTTGATGAAGCTATCGCTTTATTTAGAGCATCAAGGTATTTAATTAAAATCTATTTAAATGTCTGTTGATTTTTAACACTTATTTTAAACAGGGAAGTCTGGCCTGAAAACGAAACATTCGGCTCAGAAAATATAAATCAGGAGGAAGAGCTGATGTGCCTCAAAGAAGTCTTTCTTGCCGATTTGGGCTCAGGTCAGTCAATTAAAAAAGCAAATATAAATTAAATTTTTTTCATTTATTCTTAATCTGAAAATATCACTCATCCCATACCAATATTTACATATTAAAATGTATATAAAACACGCTAGGACTTATAAATACTATTTACATTTTGAGTACTATAACAAAACAAATATTTACAAATTGTTTGTACTTATATAAACAAATAGAAAACATACAGTATCAACATTAAATTGGATGTTTTTAGATAATAAAGCATTATTTCTTTGCGCACTTTTTTTTCTGTTATATATAATAATACTTTTATAATTTTTTACTAGAATTTTACAATTAGCTATTGTCAAACAATGATTAATAGATCGATAAAACCAATTTGTCACATCAGTTTAAAATTAGAGGGGGGAAATGTTAAACTTACATTCTATTTACTTAAAATTTTAGAAAAATTGGCTCTTGTTTATATTTTCTTGTTTAATAAAAATATATAGATTTGTATTTTCTTTTGTAGGGCATGATTGTCTTGCCTTATTACAATGATTCATTACGGACATATTAGGTATTTCTTCTCTTTTAACATTTATCTTTCTTAATAACATTTCCAATATTTGTTTATTTCGCACAATCCTCTTCTGCTTAATTTACATTAACAATAAATACTTTTTAATTGTTATATGTTGATAGTAAGGGTCACCAAAGTTCACTCGATATATTTGATATTTCAATGTCCATTTCGTGACTTATTTCATTGGCTAACTGCCTCTTAGATCTTGAGTAATGTATCGCCCAGCATAGGTACGTCGATACCAAAGCTATTGGAAGAACTAATAAAATAAACAGCCCTGGATGGGAGGTTGGAGTGTTATCGGCAAAGGCATCTACAACTCCCAGATCAGATTCTTTGTACCAAATGTCAACTTTATTAGAAGCTTCATTTTTTTGAGGTACAGGAAATTCGGAAATGTTCTTAAACTGAAAGTCCATGAAGAAATCTTTAGTAGTTGAAGCAAATATATCAGTTTTTGTTGTATTTGGCGATTTTAAGTTTGTCTCCACTGAAGAAGGTACAGTCGATTCTTTGCTTACTTTATTTTTTACTGCAACAGTCATGATTGTAGTTGTCACTTCGATTTCATTCATCTTAAAAATACAATCGTCTACTTCTTTAATTTCTAGCCATAAATATGTCGATTGTAATAAAGTACAGTTCAAATCGTTACCCTGCAAATATAGCTGCTTAAGCCTTGGAAAATAGTTCAACAAGTCATTTCGCAGTTCTGTCAAGTTTGCATAAGCAAGATTTAAAATAGTCAGCTGCTTAAATGTTTTTAATGCTGCAGCATCATTGACAAGCCGGTTTACAAGAACAGGACTATTCATAAGTATGAGTTCTTGTAGTTCGTTTGATTCAGGGACAGGAAAACAAAGCACTTGATCACATTTCATCACATTGTTTAGATTACTCAAATCCAAAGTTTTCAGATTTCTTTGATTTGTAAAAATACTGCTTGACAAAATATTAATGTTGTTTCCTGATAAGTTCAGTGTCTGAAGAAGAATAAGTTGAGCAAACGATCCTTCAGCGATTGTTGTTATTCTGTTGTTAGAGAGGTCTAATTGTTTCAACTGGATAATACTTGAAAAATCCGTTGTCGTTATTTTTTTAACAACGTTATTGTTAATTAACAAAGTCTTTAAATTATTTGGCAACGTATATGGTATCGATATGAGGAAGTTGTAACTAAGAATTATAGTCTTAAGCAATTCTAATCTGCCTAACGCGTCATCCTCAATGTAACTAATGTTATTGTGTGATAGATCGAGGCTGTTTAGCAAAGGATAGCTGTCTAGATCGCCACATTGTATTTGAGTTATATTATTAAATGAAAGGAATAAATATCGTACAGATCGGATCAAGCTCGACGGAATCTTTTTCTGGTTAGTATTTGAAGCATTGACACTTTTTAATCTCTTTGATGCAAGTAGAAGCCCAAAGTCTTGAGTTGAAAAGTCTTTATTTTCAGAAATAATCAGTTGTATGAGACCAGAAAGATATTGGAGTGTACTGGGAAACACCGTTTTTAATTTATTTTGTGAAATATCTAAAAACTGTAGTTTATTCAGTCCTACAAAGCATTTCGGTGACAAGTGCTTTAATTTGTTATTTTTTAAATCTAGTTTTAACAGATTTGTTAAATTAAAACTGTAGTTATCCAGGGTCTTAATAGCATTTGATGAAAGATTTAATATCTCTAATTTTGGTACTTCGTGTGAGATGTTGGCACTGATCTGAGCAATTAAATTATTACTCAAGTCTAATATCTTTAGTTTTTTAAATTTGTTTAAACTCAATAAATTAATTTTGTTGTTTTTTAAGTCAAAATGTTCTAAAGTATCACTTGAAAAATTGTTCAAGGAAGATATTAAATTGTTGTTCAGACTTATATATGAAACGTTGCCAGACAAAATTGGACATTTTGAAATATTGCTGATCAAATTATGAGATAAATCGATAAATTTCAGTTTCATCAGGTTCCCCTTGATCTGCGTTAGGTTGTTGTGAGAAAGACATAAACTCTGGACATTGTGAAAAATGTTTACATTAATAACAGTCAAGCCATTACCTGATAAATCTACAATTTTGGCTGAAGACAGATTGCTTAGACCGGACTTCAATAAAGACGAATATAACAATTTAATACTGTTCGGATTCGTAAGGTTGTTAGCCTCAACAAACTTGGTTATGTTCGCATCGTGATCACAGATTATTGAAATATTTACAAAGTCAATGCTTGTGCTTTTAAGCTGATTACACTCATCCGTGCAGAAGATGCACTGTGGATGAGATAGGAAGAACCGAAGGAAGAAGACGATCGCACCTAGCTGCCAGTGAGCCATTTCTCCTGTTTCAATTAATTACATTTCTTCTGTGTGGATTTGCGTTTAAAAAGAATCCATGTTTTGGCACAGCTGAAAACAAACAAAAAGTGTTTTTAACTTTCTGTACAAATTGAACATAACATTTATCTGTTCTGTATGGCTCTCTTTTTCTCTCTGTCTGTCTCTCGCTTTCTCTTTCACCCCTCTATCTCTCTTTCTCTCTCTCTCTCGCTCTCTCTCTCTTTCTCTCTCTCTCTCTCTCTCTCTCTCTCTCTCTCTCTCTCTCTCTCTCTCTCTCATTAATTGTGAGAGAAGTTGTTTGTGACCTAAATTTATGAGATTTTAAAAATAAAACTATTCATTAATTCCTCTCTCTCTCATTAATTGTGAGAGAAGTTGTTTGTGACCTAAATTTATGAGATTTTTAGAATAAAACTATTCATTAATTCCCCCCTCTCTCTCTCTCTCTTTCTCTCTCTCTCTCTCATTAATTGTGAGAGAAGTTGTTTGTGACCTAAATTTATGAGATTTTTAAAATAAAACTATTCATTAATTCCCCCCTCTCTTTCTCTCTCTCTCTCTCTGTCTCTCATTAATTGTGAGAAAAGTTGTTTGTGACCTAAATTTATGAGATTTTTAAAATAAAACTATTCATTAATTCCCCCCTCTCTTTCTCTCTCTCTCTCTGTCTCTCATTAATTGTGAGAAAAGTTGTTTGTGACCTAAATTTGAGATTTTTAAATAAAACTATATTCATTAATTCACCCCTCTCTCACACTCTCTCTCTCTCTGTCTCCCTCTCCCTCTCCCTCCATCGATCACTCATTCACTAATCACTTACACTTACTCCCTAACTAATATCATTGTGTGCTTTAAATTTTTAAGTAGACTAATAACTACCAAAGATACATGTGCCTTTGCATACACAAAATATTCATTCTCATATGACAATTTCAACATAAATCATAATATTCTTATTATAAATTTATTATAAATAGTAAGAAAAAATTATATACATCCACAAACAGGGTTAGAAAGAGAAATATTAAATAGTAGATTATGGGTTTTGGTCTGCGAGTCGGTGAACTCATGTTAACTGGCACACGGCCACTACTGGGTCTGCCTTCACCTGCAGGTTTTTTGTTTGAGAAACTCCTCACTGAAGATGGCGTAATGCCGAAACGCGTTTGAATAACTCAAACAAAAAACAAATGAAGACAGACCCAGTAGTGCCGGTGCAACATGAAATATTAATTAAGCATTCACCAAGTTGTCAGAAAAAACTAATTCTTAATAATTATACATTTTTTTTAAATAAACTGTAAAATTTTGCACTTATTAATCTCATACACACACAATTACAAAGAAAATATGAAATAAAATTTTTAAAACGTTACCACAAACACACAAATTTCTAATTAAAATCATTAATATTATAACACGAAGTAAAAACAGAATGCACAAAATCCAGTGGAAATTATAATAATTGAATGGCATGTGTATAAGCACTGTTATTTATTATGCATGCACATGTAAATTTTAAAAAAATTTAAACAAAGCAAAATTATGATTAATTTTTAATAAACTTTAAACCGGTGGTTTATTATATTTAAAGTAAAATTTTTAGTCATTTAAATTATCTATCCTTTTTTTGATCACATCTTGTACCACTTTAAGTTGAACTTTACAACATTCGATTGCATATGCCCTATTAGATGGAATGTCAATATTTCAGATTTTCCCTTAGTTATAATTATTACTTTTAAAATAAAAACAAATTACCTCCAATTTTACCAAAGGAGTTTGTTTACTACTCAGATACACACAAATTTAGATATTGATTTCATCTTCTGGCCCTACTTTTGCCTCAGAGTGTCCCACCCTTCCTATTGATTTCACCCTTCAAGATATAAATTAACATGATTTTCATTCATTTTCGTGCCATTTAGCTCGTAAATGATCAATTATGTGTTAATGTCTTTTTATTTATTTAATGGTGTAACTGTGTATAATAGTTTTAACTTCTAACATTAAATTTGGTTAAATAGCCTGGTTATATTATTTTTTGACTAACTTTTGTAAATTGTTTTCACTTTTAAAACAGTCATAAACAAAAATAAAATAAAACTCTTCATAATAAAAATAATTTGTTTAACCCCCTTGTTATGTACATATCACTTATAATTAAATATGTTGAAAATTGATAATTTATTAATTTTTATGATATTATTAGTTTCTTGTTCTTCAATTTTCTTAGTATGTTAATACATTGAAAGAAATGAAAATATTGTCTAATTTAAAATTTTATATCTTAGAATATTATATTTTTTAAATTATATATGGGTAAAGTAGAATTTTTAAAGGAATAAATATTTATATGAATTTATTTAAAAGATCAAATAATTCTTTAATATTGTAGTATTAAAATGGTGAAAAAAAGATGCACCATTGCATTTTTTTTCTATCTCTTTTTTTAATTTCTACTCACATTTCATTGGGTTGATGTCATGTCTCACTTATCCGGCCTGTTCTCAGACGATCATATTTTCATTTTTGGTTAAAAAACGGAGCACAAAGATGAGAAAACTGCACTGGGAAGAGCAAACCAAGATGAGCCTTTGGGATACAGGAAGCTGGGCCCAAATTTCAGACCTGAGCATGTGCAGATTCCACCATATTCACGCTGAGAGTACACTCTCAACCATTGAATCTGTGGATTCAGTTCAGTGTTGCACCTTTAAATGAAACAAATTAAAATTGCCGTTTCACAAAAAATATTCAGGGTTTAAATGTAACATTGAAATTTTTAATGTTGATGAACTATTTAATTTTGTGCATTAAAAACCACAAAACTAAAAACTCATAATTATTTTTAAAAAATTTATATAAAATTAAATTAATATTGATTTATAATAACATTTTTATTGTTTTGCCTTAGGGTTTAATACAAAAATTCTAAACCCATTGAAATTTAGAGAGAAAGTGAGAAAGCCCATTGCAATTTTGAGAAATTAACTGAGAAAAAGAGAGAGAGAGAGAGAGAAAAAAAATTAAAATGTTGATTAAAAATTAAATACACACTTAAAAAAAAATTTAAAACTACAATTATAATGCCACAATGGATGAAATCATTAAGATTTTAGTCCTTTGTTCCATCCCTTTGCAATGTTTAAGCACTGTTAACAGGTTATTTGGAGAGAAATGATGAATGATGGAGTGAGTGCGGTGTTCAATCCTTTTTTTTTAAAGATAGTTCCTACTGACAGTAAATTGTTTTCCAACGATCTGGATTTCGAGCCCTTAGCTCGTCATCAGGTTGAAGGATTTCTACAACCACGTTTCTCGACGTGAATTGCGTGGTTGTAGAAATCCTTCAACCTGATGATGAGCTAAGGGCTCGAAATCCAGATCGTTGGAAAACAATTTACTGTCAGTAGGAACTATCTTTAAAAAAAAAAAAAAAAAAGATTATTTGGAGATCTAACGGTCAATAAACACCAGACATTGTTAACAAAATGCGTAATTTATTTTTTTATAATATAAAAAGATTAAAAGTAATGTCCCTGGAGCTGGAAAAATTTGACCCCCCCTTATTTGTAGTCGAAGGGATTTTACTGTTTAACACTTAATCTTTTATCTATTATGTCTTATCTCTGCTAATGTATTTCCTGGTAGATTTTTGTTTCTTTAATGAAATACAGAATTCTTCTTGGGGGTATGATATCCAAGACTTCATTGTAAAGGAATACCTTTTCAAAGATATGTTCTGTGATATATTACTGGAGCATGTCAGTAAATATACCTGTTAGAGTTTTTAGTTTTTAGTTCTTTTCTGTTAGGATTTTCTTTTTTTCCCATTGGGTTGTTTTTTCGATAGTCTTTTTGCTTACCTCATGCCTGGCATACGTTTATAGTATTTGTTGTGTTCTGTGTGTGGCCCCAAGAATCAAGTTCTGGCTATAGTTTATGCCACAAAATTGATTTGGGCCTAGGTTCCAAGGCTTCTTTATTATATAGTAGGTCTGCCGCCTCATTGCCTGAAATTCCTTCATGAACCCGGACCCACCTTTAGCATTGGGCTATTTTTTATAGATCCCAGCTATTTTTGTGATACTTAGATATATTTTGTGTTGATCTTGTAGCCTTAAAGAACTTTTAGAGCTACCTGGCTATGTAACAGTATTATTATTGTTGCACCCTTGAGTTATTTATTTTTATGCCCACCATTTCCCCATATTTGAGCCATCTGTATACCACAGAAGATCTCGGGTTGTTTTTTTTTTTTTCCATTTTGCTGTTTTCAATAATATGTTGAATGTTTTTTTGTTTAAAGCCTAGAATTTTCTCTGCTAAGTTGGAGATAGTTTTAGCTATGTCAGGTATTTAAATTTTGACAAAAAAAAAATTGTATGCTTCCTTTGCAAATCTGATGAATTTTCAATTCCTCAATCAATGCTCCCTGATTGAAAGAATTTGATCTTAAATTCTATTCTGCTAATTTTGTACCATGGATTTGCATTAATGTTAAATTTATTTTTCAGATAAAACTAATTTGGCTGAAGAGTTGGAAGATGGTAATTGTTATTTTTTGCTGTTTCATTTTTCATTTTTAAATGTACTAATTGTTTATTTTAGAAAGTGATGAAGAGGAAAACGAGGTTTATCCTGAGGTTGTAGAGCAAAATTTCGAAATTATGGATTTATTAAAAAGGTATATCGATTCAGTTAAAGATATGTGCTAGTTTTTATTATTTTTTATTTGTATGTTATGATAGGTTTGCCTCACCCAAGATAATACACATTTGCTGTCAACTTTTATCTGATTTTGAAACAAACACGAATTTCACGAATTGGTGCATCGTGAGAATGCTTCACCGGATTGCATGGGACTGTAAAATGCACGTTTTGCTTTTCCAGGCTTCGCTATTCATCAAATTCCAGAAGATCCTCAGGGCTAACAACCCTAAGTATAATGTAATGTTTTATATAATTTGGTTTTACTCTTAATTATGTAATTAATGTTTGTTTTTTAATTCACAAATTAGGAATTGGCAAAATTGGCTGTTTTCATTACAAGGAAATTCGTTCAAGTAGCTCAGAAAAATCAGCTAGTCTTTGCTGAATTGTTGTTTCTGAAAACTACCAAAGATGCTTATGAAATTGAGGAAGGATATGGATCTTCTAATAAAGAAAAGTAATCATTCTCAAGCTAATCTCAATATCTGTTTATTTTAAAAAAACCTCATAGTTTATTTTCAGTAATTTATTATTTTATTTGTTTAAGAGCCAAACCAAAAGGATTTTGGGAAGAACACGAAGAGGAAGAACTTCGTACTTTATCATTAGAATATGACACTAAAAAGCCTTCCGAACGTAAGTTGATTTTGTATTTTATTTTTCCAAATTTAACACTAGGTTTGTTTTAGCGATGGTTGATTGGATAATGGACAATATGATAAGAAAAGATAGATCGAAGAAAACAGTTATCAAGAAACTTAAAGAAATGTTTTTGCTTGTGGACAACAAAGTAAGAGCACCACTATTTTTATAATATATGTTTAAAATTTTTATATTTTCTCATTAAAACAGTACTTAAATTTGATTATTTACAGAAAAAGAGGAACAATAAGTGGACAGAAGAGCTTGAACAAGAGTTGACAAAATTGTACAATGAATTCAAAGACACCGAGGGTACTTTTAAAAAAAAGTCTTTAGTGAATGAAAATCTAGTATAGTTACTAATTAAAATTTTTTGTAGATCCCTTGGTGAATATCTCTGAGAGATTAAGCGAAGAGAAATCACATAGGGTCATAGTAGCCACTCTATTAAGACTCGGTTTGATCCAGGATAGAAAAGAAATTGTTAAAAAACGGAAGAAGAATAAACCCAGTAAGTTTTCATTGTTGTTGTCATTCTAATTTGTTCTAATTTTTTCTTATCCCTCCCTAGAATTGATCAACGATTCAGTGCCTGAACAGGATCTTGATACAGAAATTGAAGATTCAAGTGATGATGATGAGGACGAGGAGGAGAAGGAGGAGGAAGTAATAGAAAATGCTCCAAAACTGGCCTCTTCTATCAAAAATATTCTCCAGGCTGTTCCAGAAAATAAATGTAATTTCCGCCTATTTAAAAATTGAGAAAATAATCACTTTTAAAAAAATGTTTTTTTTTTTCTTTTAGTTTTAATCGAAGGTTTAAAATGGATCAGCTCTTGCATTGACGAATGTTTAGAAGATCTCGACGACAAACTTGATACAGACGTCCCTTTGCTTCCATTACTTCAGGATTCAATGCTTTCGATAGAAAATGTCAATTTTCAAAATCTACTTTGGTCATTGAATTTTCAAAAACCATTTCAACAACAGGTATGCTGACTATAATCCGATGATGTCTGAAATCTAGGTTATTAACGTTTAATTCCTTTGGGATTGCGATAGCTGAGTGGTTAGTACATCAGACTTTCAATTTCCTGTTTTTAGCCTCAGGTGGATACCTGTTTTTCCACTTTTGTTCAAAAAGTAAAATCTAATGAATTTTTTAAACAATCTAATTGACGACTATCTTTAATCAAGACAACATGAGATATTTCACGTGTTATACAATTCTTGGCAGTTCAATAATCTGCATCAGATTAGATTGATGGATTGTTAAGCAGCCATAAAATACAATGGAATAGCTAAACATTTTCATATCAAGTGATAATTAGCAGGCATATCACATAGATGATACAATCACCTTCTCACAAAGTAGCATTTCAGCATTTTTTTCATAATTATTATCATACCTTATATGTCGTACATGCATAAAAACTGTCTACATAGAAACAAATTAAGAAATTTAGTCAAATGAAAATATCATTACACTTTATTATTTTATTCACTATTTTTCATGGTCAGCTTGACCAATTAATATCATTCAATTAATTAAGGTTTTAAGTTGATAAAAAGTCAGTGTCACGAGCGGGATTCGACCCCACAATCTTGACCAGATACGCCCCTGCTCTACCACTTGAGCGGTATTTAACCTATCTAGCCGAAGGTCGTGGGTTCGAACCCCGCTCGTGACACTGACTTTTTATCTCAACTTAAAACCTTAATTAATTGAATTTATTATTTTATTGGACTAAATATATTTGTAGGAAGTATACTGGAGAATACCATCTGGTTGGAATATGCAAGATTTCAATGACCGAAAAGCATTAATCAATTATATAGCCTATAATTATGAAAGTTATCTTCCATCTTGTGCTGAAGAGATCAACTCCTTAATACTGTAATTATTCCCATATATTAACATTTGAAAAACTTGTTAATTATCAACTCTGTTTATTTTAGAAAAATCACTGGCGAAGTGCAAGATGTGCTGGTTGATGATGTAAAAGATAAAGAATTAGATTTTGACAGTCTCATAAGTAAACAGTGTAAAGATACTTTGAGAAGAGAACTAAATTTAAGTGGATCGGAATCGGAAAGTTCCTATGAGAAGAATGTTCATAAACTGAAATCATCACGATTCAGGAAAACCAGTATTTCAAGTAAATCAAGCGATGAATCTGACGATGAATTCTTAGAACATGCTGAAGTGTTTTCAGTCAGAAAGCGAATTTTATCCGACAGCAGTGATGACGATTGTGATCCAATTTCTCTTTCAAAACCAATAGAGAGTGAAGTAGAAAATGTTTTTGTACAAAACTCAAATGATATTGTCCAAAATGGGGCGTGTCAAGAAGAGAATAATGAAAGAATCAACGGAAGCAAGGCATCACAAGAAAGCTGTGAAAGCCAACCAGACACAACTTCATTTTCAGCGAGCAGGGTTCTATCTTCGCAGTCTTCTGATTCAAACTCACAGATCAACCTAGGGAAAAGGGACAGGATTGTTTCTGATGATGAAGCGGATAATGATGTTCAAGTTAAGAGAAAGAAACGGTTTGTAATCGAGTCAGATGATGAAGACTAAATAAAAATTGTAAACATGTACATTTTTATAAAAATAAACCTATACAGTTAAAACTTTCTTTTGTTGTTAGATTTTTCCTAATTAGTTTTGCTACAAATTTTAAAGAAATAACACTTTTGCTTTATTCTATAATAATAGAAATAGGCTTTATTATTACAAAAATTTACAAAACAAAACAAAATGTATGCCATAACATAGAGTAACAGCATGGATAAAAACTGTCTACTGGGTTTATTCCATAAACATATTTAAGTACATATATCAATGGTATGTACGATATATAAAAAGTTATAGACCAGTCCATCTTTTAAATAATGTTAAATACATTTGAAATTAAGCTTTTAGAGTAAAACATATTACTTAGATTAGTACAAGAGAGTTCTAGGATGTTTGTCGTCATGATCCCAAAATTTGGAGTAGACCGGGAGAAAGAGATACCAAGACCGAGTGTGGGTATCTGATGGGAAATAAACCAAGGATTATAATTTATATAGCCTTGGGCAATTGCAACACATACCAACTTATACTTGTCATATAAGTGAGAAATTTTTGTGGGGTGGTATATGTATACGGCAGAAGACAGAGGACCCCTTAAGAAAGCTGGGCAATGACGGCGAAGGTCCTAAAACGTTCGGGTGGTTGGGGAAGTGGAGGAAAGCGTAGCGAGGACGAGCAGGGGCCAGCCAGAGCACCCGAACGGAGAGGGGCCTGGCTGGCAAGGATAGGCAAGAAACCGCAGGCCATCGGAGAGAGGATGCAAGCTTACAACAGGAAAAAGATTGTTTTCCAAACTTTTTAAGTGCTTCTTCATCGGGTAGCGAGTATCCAGAGGACGTCAGGGGAATCTAGAAAACTAGAGGAAACCGGAGAGAGGAGTGACAGAGGAATCCAAGCGACAGTGAAAATCAGGCCAGACTTTTATTTAATTTTTTTTAAATATAAGTGAAGTTTTATTTATTTTAGAAAGAGAGCTGTATTATTTTATTTTATTATTATAATTTTTTTTAAGTGAGGGCAGCAGGGATTTATAATTTTCAAGTTATGAACGAGTGTTAATTTCTGGTTTTGATTAAGTTAATACAAGTTTCTTTTTATTTTATTTTGTCTTTTGAACTGATTCAAGCCTTATTAGTTTGTTGTTGCCAACCAGACTGGTTAACTCATCGAGTCACTATTCCCTGGGGGGGGGGAATAATGTGGCGCCTGAACTATATATTCATTTGTACAGCCCCACGAAACCACCAAACACCCACAACCTGGGTTGGTTGTCACGGAACCCGTAACACAATATAGCACTGTATTTCAGGCTGAAACTGTGGCTGTTGATCAAAAGGCTAGATATTATAAGCAAAAGAATAACCATCTATTCAAACAGCCAGGCGGTGGTATGGTATGGTGAAAAAGGATTGCAGGAAGCGGGGTTTGCACTCCCCAGGCACTGCAGCCTTCTGGCTTATTGTACCTTCCTAGTTCCTTACGGAACTAGAACCTCCTGCTGCAATTTGATAACCTAATTTTTTTCCGTACGTTAGGTTAAATCTCCATTGAGCTTTGCTTCGCATTCGAAGATGATACGAGTGGCTATTTCCTCCTCCTCATTACATACAAATGGGATCATCGCTGTATATACCCATGTTGGGTAGATGTTTTCTCAGATGCCAATGACCAGTTAGTAGTCTTACCACTCCTCTGAGTTTGGCCGTCTCCAATTGCAGTAATGCTTTTGCCAGTCTTGGTGAGGGTTGTTTCATCATAAGTTTACTATTTCTAGCGCCGCTAGAGTTTATCCACTTCTCCTTTTGTTTCGTTTGGATCCATTCTGCACTGGAGGATTCAATATTTGTTTTTGTTACCCCAAGTATAGGTTTGGGGCCTATGTATGGTCTTGCAGATCCTCCTCTGGCCAGTCTGTCTGCTTTCTTGTTAACCAAAATTCCCCAGTGCCCTGGCACCCAAAATATCATCAGGGTGTTGTGTTCCCCAAGTTTTGGAGATTTTGGATGCGTTCACTGACTAATTTTGATGTGTTTCTTTTACATGCTAATGCTTTAATGGCTGCTTGGCTATCTGATCTTATGAGGATGTTTTTGTCAGTGTAACCTCTTTTAAGATTTTCCAGGACACAAGCATTGATGGCATGTATTTCTGCTTGAAAGACTGCACTAAAGTACCTCTTTGGTAGTAAAATCCAGTCATTTTGGATTGTTGGATTGCATCAAGGCCATATCAGACAAACGGGAACAAGGAGGCTAATAAATTGGCCAAGGAAAGTTTGATCAGGACACCATGTGAACACTTTCGTCATGCCAAAAAAAAACTTAGACCCATCAGATAATGGGTATAAGTCCTTGTTTCAATGGTAATGTATGACAGGATAGAGGCATGCAAAAAAATTCATCCAAAGAAACTAACATTAGCATAGAATGAATGTATAGACTCAAAGCAGCAGAAACAAGCTTACTGCCAGGAAGAAGAAGAAACAGTGGAACATGTCCTCTGTTGGTGCGAAAGTAAACTTCCTACTCCTGGATGAGGCAGCAATCCAGGCCTGAAGGACGCTCAAGAACCTTTATTAAAGATTTGGTTGGGGCAGTGGCAACTACAGTTTAGGCATTGATATTACGCTCATCACTTTATGGTCAGATCCCAGGTACAAACTTGACAGATGGGCTTTTTTTTTCAAAAACACCAGCACCCTGAGAGGGTTGATATGACCTCTACTGTTGCAAACCCCTATATAAAAAATAAAAAAGATTTGGTATTTAGTAAAAAGCTTAAGCTTAATGAACAGCTCTAGACAATGATAAAATTTTGTATAATAGACCAATATTGGTCATGGTGTGCTATTACTAAGAGACTAATTCATTTTTAACTTTTTTACTTAAATACTTCGTATTTAACCAGACATCCAAAATAAGCACTTCAAGTAATTATAATACATATTTTATTATGAAAAGATGATATACACACTAACATTGTTTAACAAGCAATTACTTTCTGAAATGTTCATTTATGTTTTAACATTTTATTAAATTATAATTAAAATATTTGTTGGTATTTAGATATAAGACAAAGTAAGTCTATTATTACAAGAAAACTAAATTTTAACGTCATTTTTTGTATGAAACATCCTTCAATTTTGATCTAATGTTTGACAGAAGGTTCGATTAAAATAAGCTGTTAATACTTGCAATATATATTTATTATATGTATAGTACAACTCTTACAACAGTGTTATCTCTTTAAGATAATTATTAAAATATATTTACACATCTATATAATTTATACAATGCTAAATATAATAGACATAAATTTTCTAACAACTATAGGAAGTTGGAAATGTACAAATTTCCATTTATCTATAATCAACAACTGATTTATTTTTCTTCTTTTTTTTACACTTTACTAAAAAATAATTATTAAATAAGAACGACTTTTAAATATGGCAAATTGGGAATTTCACCAAAAATACAAAATAAAAACAAAAAAAAATTGAATGCTGGATGGATTTTGATTTTTCTAAGCATAAGAAACCTCTAAAAAATTAATATTTGTTTTTACAATTTATCAAAATGATTAATATTCATGTGCTTTTAAATAATCTGATATGAAATTTTTTACTTTGAAGAAAGTAAACCAACTTGGTGGAGAATTCAAGAGTGGAACGATTAAACACCATAAAATTAATGGTGCGAGCAAAAATGTATTTTAAAAATACAAAATTTGTAGATAAAAGATATTGTCCTAACATAATTTTAATTGTTACATTATTTTCTTTTTAGGAACAAGTACTAATCGTAACGTACGAATTTGTAGTTCATTTGTTTTTAAAAATCACTGTCGTCGACACAACAGTTGTTACACCCCGTACTCTTATATACATCACTGTACATTTATGTTGTAAAGGCTAAAAAAATACTTCCTAATTCTTTAAACAATGTTTTACAAAACTATATTACATATAAATTCCATCCATTTAACACTTTGTTAAAAATATTAAGTTCCTTGTTAAAAGAAAAAAAAAGGAAAAAAGAAAAGAAGACAAAAAAGGAACTAATCATATAGACAACATTTTATGTTTTTCCTTTTTCTTTCATTATCTTTTTCTTTCTTTCTTATTTTTCCATTTAAAGCGTATAATATAAATATGCAATAACATACCATGATGCAAAACTATAACTAATGAAAGTAAGATGTTCATATGGCCGTTGCAAGGCCGAGAAATGTTTATCCACAGTTTTTACCCCATACCCTCAAAAAAAGCTACAGAATACAAAATTTCATTAGGCAAATTTTTTTAGTTTAAACTCATACACCTCCAAAGACATACATTGAAAGAAGTTATTTAAATATATATATTTATACAATATATGGGCCCACAATATATAAAATTTTATATCACAAATTTATCTCATGTTGATATCAACACCGATATTGTTTCTTTTAAGTTTAAATAAGTCATCTTTGTGGAAATAAAACCAATGTGTCAGGTAAATGTGCTTCTCAGGTATAAAACCGACTCTTTAATTAATCAAAGTGGAATTTTAAAAAATTACATTGTTATTGTGAAAATTTTGTTGAAAACACTTAACTGTTATATCATTATATAATACAAATCCAATTACACCATGAGATTTATTATAGTTACCATTAAACTGAATAATTTTTCCTTTGCTTTAGATGACTAGTGTGTGTAAAATCAGAATACAAAAAGCTAAAACAAAGGAAATACAAAATATTTTTAATACTGGACATATAACTAGCACTCTATAAAACAAAAATAAAATAATAAAACAGATAGGGGACAATTACATGTAATATATTTTAGTTTGATGTCCAAACATGATAAAACCTTTCAGGTTAATTTTAGCTTCTAAAGTGGTCACAGTTTAATTTGACCTACATGCTGTACACTTGACTTCATAAATTCATAATGCGAACATTAAGTACCAAATTAAAAAACAAAGTTTTTCCTACGTACGATTTCTTGAATGGAATTGAATGGCAAAGAACAGCGGAATTCCTGGGAAAACCATGGGGGGACAAATCATCTTATAAAAATTATGTATTTAAATTACGATTATTTGAATTTTTTCACTTACCTAGATCCGTAATATATTTTCAAAAATTAGGGCCACTATATATCATCATAGAATTTAAATCCCAACTTTGGATAGATAACTGTTTTCACAAAGTTGTGTAAAAAGCAATTTTTAGAAAAGAAGAAGAGAAACACATTTGTTTCCTCACATTGGTACAAATCCAAAGAAATTGTGATGTTTAATGATACTCATTTTTTTTAATATTTTAATAATTAAATATAATTATTAATTAACATTAATATTAGTAACATAATCTAACAACAATTGAAAATATTAACGCTTAATAATTAAAACAATAAATTTATTGCTCACTGGTGTCTGAATCACTGGGATAAGAGTACAAAAAATATTTATCTTAACAACACCTGCAATTTACAAATTACATTTGGAAGTATTTATGAATAAATAATAATAATGTTAATAATAATTCCAATATCATAAGTTAACCGAATATCAAATTTATATTAAGGATTATTTTATTGTAAATAACTATTTACAGATTTTTTGTTTAATTATAAATTACAAATATAATCTTGACTTTTCTAAATTTATTATTTTGAATATGACAATGTAATTATAAAGACTTTTGTACGTGTGTATATATATTCCTATATATTTATAAATTTAGTATTAGTAGGAAAGAATTTAATTTGTTTTCTTCAAACAAACTCCTAAGCGATTTTTTACAATTTTGGTTACTAATTATTGTTTAAATTTTAATTGCCTTGTTTTTATTTTATTTAAGAAAAAATAACCAACAGGTATAAATAGATTTGTATATATATATTTATATACAATAATAAATAATAAAATGAAAGAAAGTTAAGGAATTAAAACAACAAAGTGGGGGAATGTGATGCATCTCAAATTAAAAAGTAATCAACTTATATCTGATGTGCTTGCTCCATCACAGATTTCATCCACTACCACATTTAATAGTATTAGATCAAGTATAATGCTATTTTTTTAACATTAATACAATAAAAAAATATAACTTAGTAGCAATAAAATCTATTGGTTTGTTATTGTTTGAATTCCATTCAGAATAGGAAATTCCTGTATTCGTTTGCTTTTAAAACAGTTGTTTTGCTTTTTAAAAAGCTTTTGTTCTAACAAAATTTAAAATGATTGAAATATCAAATGAAAAAGTGACATCTCCTAAATTATGTATGGCCTCAGTTGAAAAAGTCATTAATCACTTTCTTTCAAGTACATCTCCTGAAACACAATTTCAATAATAAATTATTTAAGAAATAAAAGATCACGCTTCTTAAATTTTCAAACCAGACATGAAATTTGCGTTTAAAACACTCACATTTTCATTGTTAGGAATATGTACACTATCAGGAACATTGAGTAAGCTCATCTTGCTATTAAAATTCTGAAAATTAAAAGAAAAAATATTAAAATACAATATTTTGACAAATAATGACTGAAATTCTTACATTTTTACCCTGCAGAGAGTGAACTGGTATGCAAGTAGACTCTGCAAAATTTCCTATTTTTCCTGTTCCACCTGTAAATCGTAGACACATAAAATCCCCTGACTTTGTCAAGCGAGTAATTGAAAGAATTGGATAAACGGCACTTTTAATATAATCTAGTGTATAGTACAAACCTATTGCCTCTATATAAGGCACACTAGGGGAAAAAAATGTAATCGTTAGTATATTAACAGCAAAATATGAACAATAGTCAAATTTCTTAGTTGCAAGTGGGTCTTTCAGATTAAATGAGCAAACATTGAGTTACATTTTTGTTTTTGATTTTGAGTGATAAACACATTTTAAATAGATCAAACATTGTTTAAATTTTATTAAATTATCATGCTAGTAGAAGAAAGAAAATTTAACTTAAGTGAAATTTTCTTATTTACAGGAAAACCATGTAATAGAGTCAGCATCATATCATTAATTATTTTATCATTTGTGATGGAGTTGGGATCTTTTGGAAAAATGTAGGGTCGAGTAATAGAAAAAGACGGTTTTGAACATTTCCATTTTTTTTTTTTTTTTTTAATATTAATGCTATTCATATCATTTTAATCCTTTTGCTTGTTTTTGCAAAATCAAAGAGTATTCAATGAGTAGACTGAAGGTTGTTTGAAAAATTAGAAAGAATATGGCATGCAGAGAAAGGTTAAGAGCAGAATCACAAAACAGCAGAACCACTAGATTGATCATACAAAAAGATCGGCCATCAAACTAAGTCAAGAAAAGCATATGGAAAGTAAAAAACGTTCTAGGTGTTATTTAATTCATTCATCTTGCTAGTTGCTTCTTGAAAACCCATACGTTGAACAATTCATGAACATAGGATTTATCGGTTCTACCACTTCAGGACAATGGACTAAAACACTTTACTGGAAAAATATTAAAGCTTCCTAGTTATTTTTGATTTTGGAGGTGATATCAACAATGAGTTTGGTGAGACTTCGGTCAATTTTTAAGCTTTTGGAGAAGTGACACCTGAGTTTGATTAATAAGAGTAAAATTTTAATTGAACAAAAGGCCCAGCCAAAGCAAAAACTCGATTATTGATCGAGATTGAATCAACAACTTACAACACCAATCTAATCTGAGAAATGGCCCTCTCTTTACATAAAAACTGAAGTAGAGTTTTTTCTTTTTTTACTACTAGACCCATTATTACTACTAAAACATGATGAGCTCTATTTCCATTTTGTGAAGCAAATTAATTTGATCTAAAATAACATACATTTTTTTCATTGCCCCTAATAATTTAAAACATGTCCTGTAGTTTCAACATTCTTGGTGGTTCCTGGGATATATTCAATTCCCACTAGCACCCTCTAGCTTGAGTACAGCATAGCTCTACAAACACCTTCCACGTTCTATTTTAAAGACTGTTCAGAATTCCAATCTCCAGTGTGAATGCTATATTCTTGGAAGATATGTATCTATCGTTCCCTGGACATCACCTCATTTTACTAACGGTTCAGTGATTGGAGGAAACAGTAAGAGCATCATTGCTCAAATTGAGAACTTTTACTTAAACTCCAAGGGTGACCATTTGCTAATGAAAGTAATAGACAAGGCGTTCAACCTTAAAATGCAAAACAAAACAGTAGTTTTCTGCTGGAGCAGAGGGCATTGTGGCATAAAAAACCATGAATTTGTCGACCATTTGGCAAAACAAGCAATAAAAGGTGGAGCCTTCATTAACATCAAACTGCAAAAATAAGACACCAAACGCACACTAAACAATAAATGGATAGAGGACTGGGAGGATTTTACTGATCATTATTTCCAAGACCAAGTACCATTCCTGGTTTTCCATAGTTTGAAGTCCATAGTTGCAAAAAAAATTTCTCAACAACACGGTTAAAAACGAATCATGGCATCTGTGGTTTCCATTTTCACAGAATTGGCCTTAAACCATCTCCAAATTGTCCTACATGTAAGTTACAACACTTTCACACAAAACCAATATGACACCACAAAAATAGCACCACTCTTTATGCCCTGAAGATGACACGAATAAAGGTTGAAACAGCAAAAAAATGAAAAAGGTTGTTTTCTAAACTACCTCATTCTTAACCGCTCTCCTCACAACTTTTCAAATAATACACAAAATATTTTCATGCACATTTTTAAAACAATTCATGGATAATAATAGTACATTTCTTATAAATACATAAATATAGAAGCAGTATGTTTTATCTTTCATTGATAATCATTGAAACCGAAATATTCTAAATGTTGTTTAATTAACGTCTAACGTCCTCACTTTTTCACTAATTTGTTCCATTTGTATTATATTTGCTTAGATAAATTGCCGTATAATTTACTTGTGACCGACTTGCAACTATATTGTATACATGTGCATATTTATAAATTTAATAATAGTAATAAAATATTAAAAAGTTATGATTGTAAAATTTAATTTTCAGTTTTTCCAGTCTTTGGAAGCAAATATACAAATATGCACAGATTATACTTAATTATTTTGAAAATGAAATTAATAAGTTGGTAACAGTACACACCATTGTAGTTATCAAGGAATCCTTCAGCTTGTTGACTACTGCTTGAAATGCAGTGGACCATCGGCAAGGATTGGGACGATGGTTCGTCTGGAGAGGTCGGCTGTAGAGAAGTGGTGACTTCCTGATCAACTGGGCTGAGTGTAGTCGTATCAGGAGGACTTTCTGAAAACGCCGGCTTCTGGCAAAGGGTGTTGTTCGTTGCAACTACCAAGGCCGGAGTTGATGATATTTGCAACACCTGGTTCTGTGTCTGGGTCGAAACCGAATTCTTCTTATCTATAATGAAACCTTTATCTATGTTGTTGATTATCAAATTTTGTTTGTCGACGTTATTAAGGACAAAATTCTGTTTGTCAATATTGCCCAAGACAAAATTTCCTCTCATGTTGTCAGAGTTGATCAAAATCTTGTCATTGTTGGGGCTGAGAATAAAGTTCTGCTTTTCTGAAGTTAATATGAAATTCGGTTTTTCATTCAATATGAAGTTCTGGTGGTTCAAGTTGAGAGTTGGAGTGGGCTGAGTCTGCTGATTCGACACCATTGTTGTTTGTTGAACAATTGTTGTATTCTGTTGAACAACTGTTGTATTTGAAGTATTGGGCTGTTGTACGACTACATTCTGTGGTATGAATTCTTGATTTCTAGAGCATGGATTAGGGCTGACACTAAGCATTGGACTCAACTGTCCACTGAAAGTGTTGTTCACCAAATACTGATTCGATGAACTTAGAAATTGGTTGTTAGGTACAACTTTGTTTGCTGTTTGATTACTTGGAGTTCTAATCACCATTCCTGGTGTAATGAGATTCTGCCCACTTGTGTACACTCCTGTGTTTTGAACCGGCGTGAGGAGATTGAGTTGAACAGCATCTTGAAGAATTGTGCCATCAGACATGACCATCCCACTAACTCCTGCTGGGACGATGAACTGTTGGATTGGAAAGTTCTGAACTAAATTTAATGGTTGTAACATATTAGCTGCTATTAACTGCTGAGTACTGGCAAAATTGGTTTTACTGGGTACGAGAGTCACAGCTTGTAAGACTGGTGCGTTCAGCTGTTGCTGCTGTACCATAACGTTATTTGTGCCTTGAGGAGACAATAACATAGAACCAACAGTTGGAGACATTTTTCTTTTCTTGTAAACTGCCTTCCTCTTAGAATCAGGGGAAAGCAAATTTGTTTCCTCGATAACTTGATTTTGTTGCATGGCCACATTACCGACAAGCTGAGGTATCTGCATAGTATTCAAACCATCAACAACAACACTGGGTTGAAGTAGTAGTGGACCAGGAAGTGTATTGACAAGAACTGTGGGGTGGTTTAAAACTTGAGAAGTCACTCCAATCTGATTGGTCCCAGGGCTTGTCGTATTGATTTTTTGGACAGCGGGTTGTGGCGACAACATTGAATTTGTAACAATAAGCTGCCCATTACTTGAAACGAGAATATGCCCTGAGTTTTTAATTACTTCTTGTGGAATAGAATTTTGCATTAAACTATTAGGAGATGCAGAAGGCTGCTCTACAGAGTTTTGCTTTTGTGGTGGTGCAGTCTGATTATTAACTGTGACAGTTGCTGTATTCGCCCTGCCAGCCAAAACGGAAGTAATTGTGTTACTACTCGCTGTGTGACCTGATGCCATTGTGGTGACAATGGTAGTGACAGTGTCAGGCGAGGTAGATTCTGGAGGACTCCTATTGCTTGTACTGACTGTAGCCCCTTGAATGGGACCACGGTCATCTTGTTTTTCAGGTAGTGTCGAGCTCGGCTCTTCAACTTTCTTCCTTTCTAAAGAAGAATCTGGAAAACGACTAGTAACAGTATTTCTTGACTTTGGTCGAGAATATGACTTATTTATATTACTAGCGAGTGGAATGCCTTCAACAGACGGGCTGTTGGCATTCTGCCTAGATATAGTGCTGTTTAATAGCGCTGTCTGTTGTGCCAAATATCCACTAGGATCTTCCATGAAACTAGGCTGTTCAGAGGAACTTCTATTTTCTCCATTTGGACAATCATCAGAATATCTCTTTTTAATTATACGATGCTGTTTTCTTTTAAAATCTTGATTCCATGCAGGGACTGTGGAATTGGGATGAAGAGGAGGCACCCTTTCATAAACATTGTTTTGCTGCTGCTTGTTCTGCTGCCAAGGAGGCGTTCGATTTACATTCAGGTTTTGAGTGCCTGCAGGAACCACATTGTTTATAACTTCTTGAAGTTGTGAAAAGTCTCCCCTGGTGCTTTTATTTAATTTTCCTTCATAAGTTTGAATACCCTGAGTATATGCCAGCCTCTGTTCAAAATTCACCTGTATTAAGAAAGCAAATGTACTAAATAACATAACAAGGATTCAGTCAAATAATTTTTAATTTACCTGTTGTATACTATTTGATTGTGCTGTTTGAAGAAGGTGGTCGTTTACTACAGGAGCCATGCCAATCTGTTGCGGTGGGCATCTCGGCCCTTCATGAAGTCTTTGGTATTGGACCGAATTAGAATCCTGATACCTGTACTCTTCTTGGTAACCATTAGTAAGTGTCGTTTTAGCAAATTGCTGACTATTTTCCCTCCATGGCTAGAATAATAATTATTATTATAAATACAATGAAATTTAAAAAAAAATGCTGTTTTCCAGAAAATATTGAGTCTTACTAGGCCATTAAAAGACAGTTGTTCCTTTGCAGCTTGTTCTCTTTGAGACAAAAGCTGAGAAACAGACGGCTGAGGTACACAGACTTTCCTTTTCTTCCTAACAATTCCATCGCCTGAAATGATATAATAACTAGCTTTACTAAAATTTAAAATAAAATCTGTAATACTTCCTACTTAGTAAGGGAAACTGTATAAGCTAGTTAAATAAATTAAGTACAGTCTAATACTCAAACCTTTTCTTCGCTAATTTTAGGCACAAACAAAGAAAAATAAAATTTTGTAAAAGACATTAAAAGCTCAGGGAAATAAGAAAATAAAAATTTGTATTGAAAGCTTTTTTGGGGGGGAAAAAACTGTGTAATACCATATCTACTATCTACACTTTCTGTAGAAGGCTGTGTTAAAAGTTTCCTCTTATGGTTGCATAATTTAGTCAGGTCGCCAGGCCCTATCACAGGGGCTGTCCATGGTCTGGTTGAAACCTGGAAAAAAGATAGTTAACATTAATTAAAATGTTTCAAACTTTTTAAAAATTAATGCATTTTAGTAGTTATAAAACTGGTGCAGGACAGCAGCCAGGGTAGGGTGTGAAATCTTGTAGAGATTAGAAAAACAATGCCTAAAATAGTTCGATGTTGAAGTATTATCTATAATTATTTATAAAATGGCTCAATTCAACTCTTCTTTTCTTTGTTGCTCATGAGTTGAATGAGAAAAATAAGAATGTTACTTTAAATTCTGTGTGCATATAATAGAGGTTCCTAATGTCTTTTAATGACATCTTATAATTAAATAGTCCAGTACATTTTATTAAATATTTAATAATAGTGATAATTTATACACAGGTAAATTAATTATAGGCATTGAAGATGAATCTGAAATTGAACCTAAAGGTTTGTGAGAATTACGTTTAAAGAGTGGCTGATTTTGACCTCATTTCATACTATGTATTTAGTCAATTTTGATCTCTATAATTATTCTTTCAAGCCAATCTTTCACAGAAGGTTTCTTCAATTGCTACAATTTTTACATTCTGTAAATTGTTTCTTTATTATCAAATAACATTTATCATTATTACTTGCTTTACTTAATAAGATTTAACGAAAATTAGAAAACAAATTCAAAAAGAATGTTGAAATTAAAAAATGGATTTGGAAAATCTCCAATTCTAAAGTAGACATGGCTAAGAAAAACCAGTCTTAAAGATGAACTTATTTTTAAATTATAGAGCATTATTTATATTACAATATTTATTTGCTTTGGAAATTTAGATCAAACCTAAATTCATCATGATGTCCGAGATAGTCAACGTTAAATCTTCATAGAACTATGTGCGGAATAAAATCTAGTCGTATAGCGCAATAATAATATCTCCTCTATATTTTCAAATTAGCTTCTCTAAATTCAATCCAGAAATGTCACTTGATATCCAGCAACCTGCTCAAATCTTCACAATTGGGGTCCCAAATTTAGAAAAGGATTTGCATAATCTTCAATCAAGTTTTAAAAAGTTTAAAAGTAAAAAAGAACCAAGCAGAACCACCACGCCAGTGTCAATGTTTTTCTCATTTTAAATATTTTGCCCTGAATTCTTAAGAAACAAACAAACCAATTTGGCATTCAACAACATGATCAAATCAAATAGGAAACCTGAAATTACAAAATACATTTTGAAATCTTCATTTGAGCTTTATTAGTCGAGATAACGAAGACAACCTATAATAGTGCTTTTACGTTATATAATTTCCAAATTTATACTTTTTATTCGTGAAGAACCAGACCAGCCAACTTGGCATACAACATTGAGACTGATAAATTAAATGAAAATTTAAAAATATTCTTGGAAAATTTAGTTTTTAATTTTTGAGTTTTTGGTAATTGAAAAGAAATGAACCCAAGTGGACAGTTAACAAATTTCAACTTAGTGGATTGGTGATTTTACGCACCACGTGCGCTTATCCTCACTGATTTGGTCTGTCGAGCTTATTTCAGTTTCTCACTCTCCTCAGTGTTGGTCTGCTACTAAAGCAAACTAAAACAGCGAAAATAAGCCAAAATAATTGGAAAAGACCAAAATGTATGTTCATCATCCTGTAGACCCCAAGAGGAAATCTCACATTTTCATTATCGTTCTTTTGATTTGTTAATATTTCAACTAACTCAACTTGGTATTAAGCAACATGATCACATCAACAAAGGCATTGAAATTTGGTCATTACCGTTCAACCTAGTTTGCTTATCATCTCCAAGTTGGTCTGTCAGAAGTGTTTGGCATTTCACCATCTTCTGTGTTAAGTCTGTATTCAGTGAAGATGATGAAAAGTTGAAATAGGTCTGGCATAGAAGGATGATTGGTATCTACGAAATCACCAAGCACACCCACAGAGAAATCTCACCATTCAATAAAAGACTAATAATGTTACGAAAAATATATTTGAATGATTTTATTCATCTTTAAAATAATCCTTAGTTATCAGAATTTTAAATGTGCTCTTTTGAATTCTTTGATAATGTTAAAAACATGGTTATGAATTTTTATAAAAACTAATGCCAACATTACATAAGTAAAAAATTAAAAATTAAATTTTGGCACACTCTTAAAATTAAGTCCATTATATTTAGTGGTCTAATTGGCCAAATTACTTCTTTCAATTAATTAATCTTTTTACTTAAGGTCTTGGTCAAAATGAAAAATTAATAAAAATGACAAGAAGAATCCAAGTATGACGTTTTGTTAAACCACAGCTTTATTTTTAGGATTTGTTCAGAACTTGACCAACTTGGCATCAAGCACAATATTAAAACAAGATAGGAATCCTGGAATGATTAAATAAATTCGAGAACATTTTCGAACAAGCTTTGAAAGTAAAAATGACAAGTATAATGCGAAAAATTCTTTAATTTTTGTTAAACTGCATCTTAATTCTTAGGATTAATTTTTAAAAATTAATTTAATTAATTCTCAGGAAAAAATAATGCCAAAAATACATATGTGAAAAATTAAAAATAAAATCATTAAAAATAAAATAGAAATCCAATATTTTAAATTATGGCACACTTAAAATAATAAGGCCTTAAAGTAAATGTTCATATGTGTTAATGATAAAAACGAAAACTACTGTACAGATTTCGATGAAATTTTCACACTTATTTTTTATTAGTCCCGAGCAGATTTAGAGAATATAACTGATGGACTAACTGGAAGAAGTGATAGGCTCAACTCTGCACATGTGTGTGTTTATGCATAAACATCTGCATATTTGAGCTTATATAAATCAACAACCAGATACTGTTTATAGATCAAGATGAAGTAGTAAATTATCTGAGTTTTTGTAAGTTTTGTGTTTATATTAATTTTCTAAGTTTCTTACTGTTCAGTATTAATTGACTATTAAATTACTTTTTGACTCTGTTGTAGAATTGCATTTTGCCGTTGTTTAATATGCCACCAAAATGATAAAATATTGCTCGTAGAATAATATTAAAATTCTTACTAAAAATCAAAAAAGGGGATGTGCCAATGCTACATATACCAATGATACCAACGGAACTGCCTTTCCAATTAAACTGGCTTTTGCAGTAATGGTAAACAAATCACAAGGCCAATCATTCGTATTATGTCGATTGAATTTGGAGAATCCTTGGTTTTCACATGGACAATTATACGTTGCATGCTCCAGGATGTGGATTTGTTGTTTGTATATATGCCAAATGGAATCACCAAAAACATTGTACATCCAAGAGCAGTGCAATTTTAATGCTGAATTCAACAGTAATTACAATTTCAATTAATTACTCTTTTTATGTAAGGTCTTGGTTGACCGGTTGACCGCTGCTCTAACCTCTTGAGCTATCGTGACTTTGATCCACTCGGACACTCCCATCTCAACCTACAATCTTTTTGAATTTTCCCTCTTTTTGCCATTTTTCAAGTAGTTAGAGCAACATCATATCGAGCCGAAGGTTGTTGGTTCGAATCCTGCTCGTGACACTAACTTTTCCATCTCAACCAAGACCTTACTTAAAAAGAATAATTAATTGAAATAATTAATATGGTCAATTCAACCGCTAAGCATACAATTTAATACAATGTAATAAAAAACAAAGAAATATTGCATATGTAAATATCTAATATGATGACTACAATTATTGATATCAAACATTCAATTGTATTCAAATAATTTACATATATGCTCCTGTCTAGCAATATGTGTACTGAAAATAATGTGTTAAATAACATTTTTTATTATTCCCCTGGGCAACACCGGGTTATAAGGCTAGTAATGTATAATATATATTACATAATTTAAAGTGTCTTCTTAATTTTCCGGTTGTTTTTCTTTTATTTGTTTACTGTTTTTAATGGTTTTACAGTAACAAATAAATATTTTAAAAACACCAAACAAACGGGTAATTTAATTTTTCAAGGTTAAATATTGTTGATATCTTTTATTAACATAAACAAATAATTAGGTGGACTTTCATTCCATAAATGTTGAAAAGATTTAAACTATTGTTTTCTACATTTTTCTAGATTAAATCGTAAATTTTCAAGAAAAGAACAAGAACTTGTAAGTTTGTTTAAAAAAAAAGAAGAAAAATCGTTAAACTACTCCGTTGTAATTAGGACAATGCTTATTTTAAATGTGATTTAGCCTGATTCAATTAGGCCTTTTAACCTTTAAGCATTCAATGTTATTTTAATAGAACAGTTTTGCTTGATGATCGATAACTACGACGCACCCCCTCGAACAACAACCTACACAATTCTCCCGTGTATTTTTCTCCCTATTGACTTTTAATAACAGCACGGAGAAAGAATATCAATTTTGAACCTTTGGAATAACAATTTCTGACCATGAGTGTTTATTTATTCGACGAGAACAAGCGTTAATTGATCCGGCGGTGTAAAACTTCTTTTTATGATATTGTCCTTAACACCCTGTTATAAGGGTAAAAACCGAGGAAAATTTATCTGGCCAGGGACGGTATAAATATGTCAATGGATTGAATTGCCTCGTAAACTTTTACAATTTACCACTCTACATCGTAAAGCAGAGAAACCGCCAGAAGTCGTAAATATACTAGAATTAATCAAACTCATATTAAGGCTTTTAAAACGTAATATTGTTTTATTATTAATAAAAGTCTTTAAAAGAAACAAAATGGCTAGATTCGTGGTCTAGGGACGGAGGGGTGGTTAAACTTTTCATTAACGTTGCAAATAACATTCATTTGTCATTCCTCACAAAAAAAAATTAGATTAAGTACAGAAAGAAAGCTTATCCGGTCGACTTGGGATTTTTTTTCGATGTGTAACAAATGTTTCTCATTTGAAACTATGTCAAAAAACGTTTCAGCGCCCTAAGGTTGATTTATGACTGTGTAAAGGTCGAAGTGAAAGGAGACCGCTGGGCATTGAAAATTGCTATTTACACCGAGCCTGTCGGTAACGGCCAGGATTTCGGCTTTGTACAAAAGGGAAAATTACAAGGTTTATACTTATAATTTATTAAGTTTAATCCGAAGAGGTATCTACGGGCGGGTGGTTCGGCTTCCCCCGTTGGGGCAGGTGGCCTTCCGACACTTCCTTCACCGTCGAAACACGCTAATTAACAGCAAAAACACCTGTCCAACATTTGGTCATAATTGTATAAACTTCGACTATTCATGAACTGGTGGGCATCGTGACTGCAATTTCATGAGGCACGGGGCGGCAAGTTTATTCCTCCCTTCGGCCGATTATGCATCGGTTTGAAACAATCGTTAAACTACACCATTAACCAATAAGGATAATAATTGGTAAAACCCATTTCAACCTGTTATAAAGACATATTAACCCTCAAACAGTGGATAAATCCTCTCATAAAGTTACCATCCATCTAAACCCATCCTCATTTATTAATAATTAACCATATTAATAAACATGAATGTAACAATGTAAATGAACAGAGATTAACAACAATTAAATGATAATTTAGGTTTTTATATTTAAAATAAAAAGTGAAAAAACATACACATTAATATCCTGTACAAGTTCATGGCTGCGTGCGCGTGTGAAGGCATAACAAAATCGAACAACCATAAAAATCAAGCTTTAAAAGTATTAAGTACAAAACGAGGCCAGTGTAGATATTTATTTTCAAAATTATCCCCTTTGAATTCTTAAGATTCTGACAAGGAACAACTTGGCATCCAGCAGCCAGATTAGATCATGATAGGAGCCTTGGAATAGAAGAAAAATCATTATTGATACTCTTCAATTTTTAAAATGGAAATAACCAGGCGAATAGACACTTCATTATTTCGATTTCATACATAAGATCTTAGCAGCCAGCCATAGCAAACAAAAACCAGATCAAATTAAGATTTATTAAAAACTATTAGGTATCCTGCAATTCCAAAAGAATTGCTATTGTTTAAAATAAAATATTTGGATAACATCTAATCTATGTTTAAAAGTAGAAACAACCATGAAAGTAGCTAAATATTTACTACTTTTTACTATTTTAATTTCATTCCTTTGACTTCTTAAGATCTGAGCAAACCACCATGCCAAACAGAAACAAGATCAAATTAAGATTATGTCTTATATAAAAAAAAATGTATTATCTGCAATCGCCATTTCAAAGCATAAAACCAAAAACAATTTTTATTATTTTAATTTTATACGTTTGATTTCTTAAGATCCTGGCAACCAGCATACTAAAAAGCAACTCAAAGCATTAAATGAGACTTGAAATGAAAAAAAGGATAATCTTTAATCGTCCTTTCAAGGTAGAAATAACCCAAAACAATAAAAACTACGGCACCCAGTGACACGATCGATTAAAAAAGGTGCTGCTACAGTTAATCAATATATTTGGATAATCTCTAATCCTAAGAGATTGTTTCTACTTTTAAACATACATTAGATATTATCCAAATATTTTATTTTAAACAATAGCAATTCTTTTGGAGGTAGAAATAACCCAAAACAATCCAAACCATAATCTACTGTTTGATACCTACTATCTTGGCTGCCTATCCTCGCTGATTTTTTTTTTTTTGTTCAGACGCGTTCGGCATTTGGTCGTCTTCAGCTGAGTCTCCACAGAAATCAACCGAACACTGATGATGACGAAATGCCAAAACTAAAAATTAACCAACTAAAATCAGCGAGGATAAGAAGGTAACTATCAGCAATAGGTTTATCACCTCACAGACCACAAGAAGAAATTTCGGAACCAAACCAGAATATTGCTTTTTACAATTAGCAAATTTATTTATTTTTCTGAGTTCTTAACATCCCGACAAAAATTATGCGGCACCCAGTGACACGATCGATTAAAAAAGGTGCTCCTACAGTTAATCAATATATTTGGATAATCTCTAATCCACGTTTAAAAGTAAAACCAACCATAAAAGTACCCAAACATTTACTTTTTACTATGTTCATTTTATTAATTTGATTTCTTCAGATCCTGGCAAGCCAACTGCCATGATATGATTAACTCATTACAGGAGTGCTGAAGTTAAAAAGGGTTTAGATATTCTACAATCATAGTTTAAAATAAATAAACAAATAAAAATAAAAAGCTGTTTTGTTGGTAAAAATATTGTTCCTTTGGATAATAAGTTATTTCGTAAGTTAATTCAAACTAATAATGAAATCATAAAATTTAAATGTTTAGCTGTTTTAGAAAGTATTTCTGACAACGTTCAGTAATGCAGGCAATAATGAAGTGAAAGTGCAACTACAAAGTACTTTCGAATCGCTGATTATTTCACAGCAAATAGGTACTTTATTGCTAAACGTAACATCTTTTTGTTCGTCGTCGTATTGTTTCAATCGTTATATAAACATCTATTTTAGAAAGATAAAAAAATAAGAAAACAATGTAACTTTAAAGAATTAAAGATGTCCCAGCGGTTACGTTTTAAATTATAGAGCTGATGTAGATTGATGACCGTCGAGGTTGGCAAACAAAAAGCTGTTAGTGGTTAAGAGATTTAACCATTGTTGAAACATGAGATGTGGCCATTTTTTAAAAGATTTAAATCACCAGATCTTTATCACAACGAAAATAGTCTTTTTATAGGTGATTCCATTTACGAGTTAATAAAAAAGTAATTATCTATCCATCTATGAATTTTATAATCGTGTAGTCTAAGATTTTTCATAAAAGAATGCTCAAATGGAAGTTGGAAAACGGCATACAAAGGTGAATTTCCCAGCGTACCTCCCAACTGAGTTGGAAATTGCTTAGGGTCATCAAGAAGACATGTGGCCGTGCGTTGTCACGGTTCAGTTAAGTTCCCTTTCTTTCTTTTGTGTGCATTGTTTAAAATTACTTGTCATACAATTCTTTCAAAAGGCCTTTCTTTTCTTTTTAATTAAAATACTAGGTTGTTGCAAAAAAATCCTTGAAATTGAAAAATCCGCCAATTAAATATTAACATTTTATTTGAATTTTTTTTTATTATTTAAGGTGGCTTTTAACTATGAACCTAAGTATTTCATTTGCTATTAGTTATTACATATAAATTGCAAAGAGAATGGCCTAAATGAAATGCTGTCTTCTGAGATGTTTTGTTTCTGGTGGCAGAGCTGCCTCATCGAAAGAAAGATTAATGTACCCCGACTTGAATCATCTGCTGTAGCAGACGGTTGCGTATGAAACAGGCAAAATTCGCAAGAAAGGAGTGAGTCAGTGTCTTTCCTTTCTTATATATCCGATTTGCTCATCTGCTATAGCTAGCTTCGTATTATGACTTTCGCCTATGGTCCAGGCGAAATTCACAAGTCTTGCTACTCCCTGCTTTTATCCTTGATTTGCTCTTCACACATGTGTAATTCACAAGAATGGAATCGCGTCTGTCTTCTCAGTGCTTATATCCCCGATTTGCGTATCTACAGCAAACCTATTGTCACGTTTTCCTTTGGCACAGGCGAAATTCCAAGAATGAGAGAGTTTTGCTTCTTCCTACTTTTATCCCCCATTTTCTAAACACATTATAACGTTTGTCACACGTGAAATAAACAAGAATGTAGTATGAGAAAAAAATGAATTTATACAATACTAGAAAATTTTAGATTAAAAAAATATACATATGAATTTATACAATGCTAGAAAATTTTAGATTTAAAAAAATGAATTTATATAATGATAGAAAATTTCAGATTAAAAATTTTTTTCTTTCTTTTTCTTTTTTAAATCTAAAATTTTCTATCGTTATATAAATTCATTTTTGTTTAATCTAAAATTTTCTAGAATTGTATAAATTCACATTTTTTTTTAACCTAAAATTTTCTAGCATTGTATAAATTCATTTGTAAAATTGAAACAATGTTTATAAATCCCAGGCCCTGGAGATGATTTCAATAAAGATCGAAACGTTGGCACGATAAAGAAAATGTTTTTCTAAAACCTACGTCATATCAGACCGCATCTCACGAGTTCCGAATAATTATTTTAGTAACAAAGGTTTAGTATACTATTTTAGCCTTAGAAACTTGTTTTAAATAATTTTTAATCCAACCTTCTGTAAAAAAAAAAAAACGCTTACCTTGGGACTAAAGTTGAATGTAACATCACAGTTTACAGGGCATTCGAGGCCACATTTACAAGTTCCTTCCGTCTGCAAATAAGCTTTGACCTGTTCCGTCGACGTCAAAGCCGTATTGCTCGGGCTGAAAAAGACAAAAGAGGAAAAATCAAAATAAACAACAATTATGTGAAAGGAGAAAAAAAACTCAATACAGATCCGATTTGAAAATTTTTCAAAGCGTGAATGAAAAAGTGCAGCCTGGATTATAAGATATTCAATTAAATCACATAAAGTTGAAGCAGATTACAACTTAGTAAAAGGTTTTGATACTTGTTCACCTTGAAACAAGATTACACAAGAGTGAACAAGGAGTGGGAAGCCATTACCAATCTCCTGCAATACAAACAACACAGATTATATGCCATTTAGAATCCTCACCTATCACAATTAACGTTTTTAATTGTATGTTGATATTTAATCGATATCAATTCAGGAAAAACTGTTTCCTTCAAACATGCCTTTTTCAACAAAAATTAATAAATATAAACACTTGTAATGACATAATTAGGTTTTATTAATACTGGTGGAATAGACTAGACGGTTTTGAACTATTCATAATTTTTTTGGTGAAAAGTCTTATTTTACAGATTAAAAATCAATATTTTAATCGTATATTTAGCCTAATCAAATGGCTACACCATGATCATGATTATCAAAGGTGAACAAATGAATCATCGCCCTCTAGGCAATTAAAAATAAAATAAAGTAAAATACAAAGAAACAAAGAAAATATACTATATTTTTTTACTTGAAAACAAAAAACAATTGACAAGGTTTAACAGAAATTATTATTATAATGGGCAGAAAGGATAATTAACAAATAACTAGAGAAGCGAGATGAGATCATTTTCTAGATATAATTTATGTTATATTAGCATAATATGCTAATCTCACTCATTAATATTATCATTGTCGTTACCACACAATGCTAGCAAACGGTTTTTTTCGTTTTTTAAGGGCAGTTCAAATATTTATAAATTTGTTTATTTGTAATTTTATTCATTATTACAATTTTGATATTATTATGATTTAAAGTCTGCAAAAAATATACGGCTTATCTTTTATCAGGTTGGTTTGTATTAATTTGCCCTGAATGCTTTATGTACGATGATTTATGATCTAAAATCCATCATCGAAAACAAAAATTTCAATAGTGAATAAACCTTACAAGAAATTAAGTTAATTTAAAAGAAAAAAATTTTTAAATGGCCAAAGGGCAAATAATCCTCATTGTGCTTGTTTTGATTAATCTGAATAAATATGTAGTTGAAATATGTAAGTGGTAAGGTAATGGGTGTGTGATCAATAAGTCAACAGAGAGAGAGACTATGTGGGCAGGCGCTCTTCCCCCGACTCCGTAAAGCCCTCTTTTACTTAGAACCCTTAATCCCCTATATAAAAAAAAAGCTTCAGCTTGACTCAACCACCTAAACGTCAATTGCCCTAATTAACTTAAGAGCTAACCTTGTTGAGGCTTATTACGTTCCCCCCATTGTTATATCTACCGGTACTGACAATCGTTTCGGTATGGCTAAAGGGCGAAGTCGAATCAAAAAGGGCAAATATTTTTAAAAAAATCATAATTACACAAAATAATATACTTTTGTTATAAATAATTATTTTTTATTCTGACTCAAACAATCTCATGTACAAAGATTAAAAAAATTAAAATTTGAAAACAAGTAAAGATAATAAAAGAATTCACTAATAGACACCTTCTAAAATTTGAAGAGTGATTTATTTTCAATCACAAAACGATTTAAACAGCAATTCAGTTTTACTGATTTTCCCCCAGGCGACTTTATACCCCTCAAAAAGCAACCTCGTTAACTTTAAGCCCCCCTAGGCAATCGCATTTTACAAAAAAAGCCCCGGGCTGAAAAAATAATACACCTACTATGGCTTGGCTTAAGGTAAGAAAAATTCCCCACTCGTACAAAAGCGGTGAGGCAAATATCGTTTAAAATTATAATACATTTTCATTTTTTTAATATTAACGTCAATACTTTAAGTCACATAACAATAATTAAATATGCCTTTACATTTACTTTCTTTAGCAGTACAAAAACGTGCACTGAATCAAAAGGGCACCGATTTTGTGCATGGGGGTGTTTAGAGTGACACAGGAAGAAAAAAAGAAACAGGGAGAACAAAGTAGAGAGAAATGAGATAGGGTCAAAGAAAGGGATAACTACCAACCAGAGAGAAAAACGATAATGATAAAATGGGAGGTAGATGGTGATAGATTAAAAAAAATGTCGTAAGAACTTGAAAGAAAAAATTATCTAGATAAAAAAACTACATAACTAGAGAGAAAAAGGGTTCCAAAAGAAAAAAAAAATAAAGAGACAATTTGGGAAAGAGAGAGAGAGAGAAAAAAAAGAGGGAGTGGAGTGAGAGAAAAAAAGAGAGGAAGGAGAGAGAGAGAAGAGAGAGTAGAAAGAGAAAAAAAGAGTGGTGGGAGGGAGGGAGAGGGAGAGGGAGAGGGAGAGGGAGAGAGTGAGGGAGAGAGTGAGAGACAGAGTGAGAGACAGAGAGAGAGGGACAGAGAGAGACAGAGACAGACAGACAGACACTTAGACGGACGGACAGACAGAATGAATGAATGAATACTGTTTTACATAAAAAACTTGCAAATTTAGATTGCAAACAACGTCTCTCTATTAATGAGAGAAAGAGAGAAAGAGAGAGAGAGAGAGAGAGAGAGAGAGAGAGAGAGAGAGAGAGAGAGAGAGAGAGAG